TTCACTCAAGAACTTTATGGCTCCATCGGCCGTCAGTTCCTGCGGCTAATGTGACCAGCCCACTGCCACTTCAGTTTGACCACCTTATCACCTCATACTTTTATGAAGCTTGTTGTACATCAGTAGCCTGCAGTAGCTCAGTTAACCCTTATAACATTCAATTAAGAATTTGGAGTACCGTAAAACTGTAAAACTTTGCCCAGATTTTTTACTCCACTTGAAATATTTTTTCAAATAATAATACTTTTAATTTGTGATCTTGCTATATCGTTCATAAATGCAATACTCTTTGCATAGACTTACGATAGTAACAAGAAAATGAATCTATATGTGCTTAAAATCTCAATTTGGAGAGCGGGCCAAATATTTATATCTTTTTACAAGTTTGCCCATTTTGCGGAAACCTTCGTAGCTTCAGTATTATTAACTTTAAAATAATAATGTTTATGGACCATTTTAGGAAAATAGTCAATCTGTCCTAGGACGTTGATAATAAACGTATAAATATTCTTATTACCTATCAAACTTAAGTGGGCAAAGTCGCAAATTTTATTTTGTGATTTTTCATACTACAAATAAATCGATCAACTAGGGTTGTCACTTTTTATTGTTAATCAGTACAGAGGGGTTCGCAGGCGTTTTAAAGCAAATGCTTATTAGTTATAATGCAAACAATATATAAGAATAATATAAAACTTGAATAAACATAATAGGAATATTGAATTTGACAAGTGAAATAAAACTATATTCAAGATAAAGCTTTCAAAAATTAACGATATACCTAACGCTTTAGATCAATAGCAACTCTTATCATATCTAAGTACCTATGTAACAGGTTTTATTTTCTATTATGGTCACAAAGCCTAATTTGCAGGACGTCTATAAAGCAAATCGCTCAAAATTAATGTCTGAAATGCAGAATGTCTATGAAGCAAAACGTCTAAAAACATTGTCATCTAGAAAGCACAAAGCCTATGAAACAAAATGCCTAAAATCCTTTAGATTAGACGTAGCAGATTCATTCTGCATCTTAACTAAGGCCGCGGCGTTTGTTATACTGATCCATAAACCATAAATAATTTTGTAAAGCATAATTTCAATATTTTATTTATATACTTTTTAAGCTTCTTTAGCCGTTTTGCGTTTCAGGTGGCTTGCATTAGCAAGTGGTTGGTGGTTGCATTATATTTATTATATATTTTCTTTAGATTTAAACATCAAGCAGATAAATGCTTAAAAAATAAAAATTATTACTATAATTGCTATTTCTTCTTTCAAATGTTTAATACTTGTAAAAGTATTCATTTGACATTGTGGGTTACCTACAATGCGAAGAGATGGCACTGCCTTGCAGCTTATAAGAATGACTAGAGGAATTTCGACGCGGCCATCGGAACCGCGGTAGCATAATTGGTCAGTGCATTCGCCCGGATAGCGAAGGGTGCGGAGTCGAGTCCCATCTGCTGCCTGGTCCGCGTGGAATTTTTTCTAGCTATATTTTCTTTAGATTTAACCCTAAGTAGGTACTTTGTTTTAAATCTAATCTTCTTAGATCTTAATATATACTTAATAAGACTGAGGTGACAACCCTTACTGTGAGTGGGCAAAGTCGTAACAACTACGATAGAAAAACTAATTTGAGATTGCCCACCATCATATTTTCGAATTTAAGAGAGACTTTGCGTTGGATGTACGATCATTTATGATTATTTATTACAAACTAACAGTGGTTAAAAACTTATTTATTTGCTGTGATAATAAATTAAATTTTACAAAAAGTTTTTCACTCAACTTTTGGCCCGCAAAAAATACCACCAACTTGGAAACAGTTTGACAGCCGACAGAGCAGACAGAGTGCATTATAAAGAAAAATCAGTTACGTAATATTGCCAGAGACATGTTGAAATTTCTTACATAGATTAAAAATTTGACGCAACTAAAAAATGTTGCCGGTTATTTTAATATTTGTAAAAAGTACCGTGCTGGGCAAAGTTAGATTAGTTGGGCAATCTTGTAAGGTTTGACGGTAATAAAACATAACAGTGATGTATTCATTCTAGTAGACTTCTTAAAGTTCCTTGCTAGGGGAAGGAAGATTATTCAATTCTGAAAATGACTATAAAAAGTTTAAATAAGTCTAAAATAAGTTTAAATAGGTCAGTGGACCTAGACAATCATTGGCTGGATCAAAAATGAAACTCGTTGTTTGATACTCATTATTTATTTAATTTCCTTGTACATTATTGTAAGCACTTTGTCCATTATTCTCATTTTCATTTTCAATGAAATTAAACCAAACCGAATAGTATTTTCCATTGTCTGTCTATATTCCTGATATTCACCACACTAGAAGTACCTAGTTGGAAAAAACATGCTTAATACTTGCTCCACTATTACAGATCTAGTACATATGACGTAGTGTGAAATGACAAAAAACTGGTCAAGTGTGAGTCTCGCGCTATTAGGGTTTCGTAAAAACATTTGTTTGTTTTCGTCAGAACTTACAAAGTTCATACTGTATCGACGTTTTCAGTATTTGTTGTTTAAATACAGCATATTATGTGATATCATATACTAAAATTTCACATTCTTAACTAATTTCGATTTTGTGATAGACGCCGTAACAAAAATGGTCTAAAATGACAACTTTGACAGCCGGCACTGCATTTGTTATTGAAAATAAAAAATAATATCAAAAATATTTATATCCTAATCAACGAGCTCTAGACAATAAAGAAGAATTGCGCAAGCATTCTACATAAAATAGCAAAATTTCACTTCTGTAACTTTTTCCGTTATGATCTACAGACCCGTGGCATACGGACAGACAAACAAATAAACGACAAAGTGTCAGCAAAAGGGTTCCGCTTGTACCCTTTGGGTACGGAACCCTAAAAAAACAAGTATTCAAATCTGACGAGAGTAGTCGGCAAGGTGATACCCACTTAATATTATTATTTAGAATAATACTTGTTGAGTTTTAGAAAATAAAACAATTAAAAAAACGGAACACACATGCTATTGTGTTCTTTTAGCATGACTACCGTTTGTTTAACTCAAATCACATTCGTGCAAGTTCTCTACACCACAGGAGGCCCACAGCTGTTTTGTCTCCACTCTGAACGGACCACTTTACTCTAAAATACTATTTTCAGGAATCTTAGTAAATAGAAATCTATGTATACAGATATACAGTTATAAATAAGGCAGCGACTATACGATTTTAGTATAATTAATATTATAGTTTATATTAGCCAAAAAGATACAATAACACTCTCAAAATTGTTAACAGCATATTCACAGATTAAAAGCAAAATCTGGCAATTGTTGAATTTATTTAAGTAATGTAAATGAATACTAAAAAAAAAGAAATTTCTACTGAAACATCAGCGAAAACAATGCTCATTAAGTATTAAAAACAAATGACATCACAAATATTTCACAGCCCTTCAAATCGATCCAATAAAAGTGTAATTTATAATTTCGCTTTAAATTTCAAGCAGAATATTCTAAAAAGTTTATTAAAATCTGAAAATCCTAACATCTACTTAAAATTCTAAATATAATTTGACATGCTGAAAACTATGTTATACTCACTACCTTTATAATAAAATCTATCAATCTGGTTTATTAGGGTAAAATTTTAATGGAAACCAAAGGCTTATTTAAGGAAATAAAAATAAGTTTAATAACTATCTTGTTCATTTACACAGTATCATCATGAATACAACTGGGAAAAACAATTATTGTTAATATAACAAAAATCGGAAACAATAAATACTGCAAAATCCCTACTTACTATAGATTAAAAACAATAACAAAACAAGTTAAAATCAACAGGATTATACAAACAAAAAAATATGCAGCATGCACATTAATATAAGTACTTAATTGACATTGTTAGAATAATGTAATTAATAGTGAACTAAATGTAATAACATTGCATGTCAACAAGACAGAATATGGCTGAACATAATATAATTTGTATACTTGAACACAACACAATATTACCTGTATTCGCAATAAAAATATTTGAATTTGAATTTGAAAAAAACATTGAAGAACTTATGTTTACCTTACATTTTTATGATAAGATAATTAAAGTAACAAAGAATATGATATTTATTACCTTGAATACTGTTTGAGCCAAAACAATGTAGGTACTAAGTCAATGTAGCTATTCAAACATCAGATACAAATTTCACCCCAAGAAGCTAAATTTTTCAATCAATATAATTTTAGTTGAGTAATTATTGTATTTTCTTCACTACTGATTTTGTCAGTTTAAATTAAGATTGAAAATTATATCTCAATTGAAGTGGAATTTCATTTTAATTTTTTTAGTTCCGAACTTCTAATTTTAGTAAATTTATTTGAGTGCATTGACAAGTTATGACTATTCCTCAAATTTTTTTTATAATAATATATTGACAGGATATAATTAAGTAGATATATTTTGGAAAAGAGAATGAATCACTTCCAACATTTGAAAATATTATTAATTATTGAAGAAATTATATATCTCTTCAAATACTTTACAGTAATAAAATGATTGCAGTTAATTATTGATAAATTTGGCAGTATCCATGTAACTTTTGTTTCTGAGAAATAAAGAAACATTATTATTAAAATAAAAATCATGTTGAGAAGTATTGAGAACATGCATTCACTCAATATAAATTAATAATAAATAAATACATTTAAGTAATTAATTAGGGACTATCAGTCTTAATTAGTTATTGAGTAATTGTACAAATTTATGGACAGAATCTATATTTGCAGTATGACAAATGTGTTAGACAATACATCATTTCATTACATCTGCAGCTAAAACTACATTGTACTTTGATTATTTCATAAATGTTTACTTTTTATTGGCACACTAGAACAAACAAGGATCTTATTAATGTCAGATATCATAAAACATAGTACCTATGTTTTGCCATCTAATAGTTATAATTAATATGATACCACTTAATTAATAAATAGCTTCAAAAACTTTAACAGTCTTTGGCCAACATAAGCTTGGCCTCGCCCTCGAACACAACCTTTTTTTCTTCTTCTACAATGCAGTAAAACTTCACTTTGAGAATTTTCCTCACATCAACCAACTCCACACTGATAGTCAATTTTTCACCAACAAAGCATTTGTTGGGAAATTTCATTGTCTGTGATAGAACCACAGTACCAGGTCCAGGCAAATGAGTACCAATTAGACCAGCCACCAAACCATTCAGTAAAGCTCCATGCACAATGGGCCTTTTGTTACTATTATTTTGATGTAGATAATTATGGTCACTTGTGAGATTCGAAAAAGCATCCAAGTCTTTCTGCGACAAAGTTTTCTGGATGCGAATTTTGTCTCCAGGCTTAAAGCCTGTGGTGCTGAATGAAGATGTATGTATTTTGCATATCTTTTGGTAGTTCTTATTGTTCACCACAAAGTAAGGAAACCTGTTTGAGAGCATTTTATTCATTTTGTTCATTAATTATACTTTACTTCATTCAATGTTAAATTTCTGCACATTCAATTTATTTTAAAAATGTCATTCAGGTATATTGTTGCTAAATTTGACACCATTTTATCTTCCGACTTTGAATGTTCCTCAATAATCTGCTTTATTTCAGGTGATTCTAACTCGACTTTTGTTTGCTCATTGTATAGATAAAGCAGTGCTGTTGTAGTATTGGCCACTATCTCCTTATTTTTATACCTCAATAAAGCTGTTAAAATCTTCAGTTCTAAATGTTTCAAAATGTATTCAGCATTTGTATGATCTGAAATGTATATGATTAAACAAATCAATCATGGATTAAAATAAATTTTAAAATTGACCTAACAATAGCATGTTTTAAAATTAAATAAATATCAAAATTAAGTCTCAATCAGCACAATACACTTTCGAAAGAGTAATACAAAACAGGGCTCCTGGTATGGTAAGTATACTTCTTAAATAGAAATCATTTTTAGATAACAATTTTTATAATGGTTACCTAAGCATAGATTGCAGATGCCCGCTGTTGCAAAATGTACAAGCTTAGTGTCAGTTTCATTTTTCACAACATACAAGAATATATCTAGAACACCAACGTCTCGTATGTAGGTATAATTGATGGGATCGTATGCAAAATTAGCTAAATTTGCTAATACTTGACATTTTGCATCTGAAAAAGTGTACAAAAATTTAATTAATAAATAATGAAGAAGGCAGTACTTATGACAAATTTTACTTAAGACGTTCGTAACATTTATAAATCTAGCAGTTTGATGGACTTTTATCAAGAAAGCCTTTGTTCTATAAACAACTCTAAATCTGCATCAGCCTCGCAATTTATGAATCAAATAACCAGGACTTTGCATAACAGGTAACTAAAAGATAAAGATTTATCATAAGAAATTATCGTTTGCAGTTGGTTAACTTTGCAAAATATCCAGTTTTATTAAATTCTTACCGTAAGAAGTGGTATTTAGGTACTCATCTACTAATAAGGATAAGAAATTTTCACGATCCGTCCCATTGTAAGGAGTTCGTTTCTGAAGTTGGATTTTGCTACTGAACATTGAACCGCCATAGAATAAGATTCTTTAAAATGTAAATAAAATCTTCACACGACTCGACAGGAAGCCTCCATTTTAATTTATTGTTGTTGTTTTTAAGTTTCATTCTTTTGAGAAGGTAAAGAATTATTGGTTCATACATCCATCCAAGTCTTACATTGTATATTTAATGTTTGTAGTACTTTTATTAGATTATATTGCTAAGTAGGCACGAATATTTTTTAATCTCAAGAATATCTCAAGTGATACTAAATTAATCAATCAAACCGAATATTTTGCCAAAGAAGCTGAAAATAGGTCTGTAATAATTATAAATGAGTCTTTTTCTACAGAACTTACTATTACAATTCAATTTCTCAGAAGTTTCCAAAAAAGTTACAGCCAAGCCAAAAAGACTTGATACTTTAAATAACAGATTAATTATTATACATTTTAACTGACTTTAAAAAAGGGAGAGGTACTCAATGTGATTATATATTTTTATATTTGTTACCTTTTTTGATATTATTTGTTTGTTAAGTATTATTTTTTATTTTGTTGAGAGGTTTTGCTTGCATAAAGTCGGTATTTACTTTTGATAAAAAAGTATTTTAGGGAGTAAGAATATTGCTACCTATTTTACTATGCATTCTACTTGTATGCACCTGTGTAGGTCTAATAATACAAGTTCTAGTAATTCGAATACAGATTCGAGAGAATCATTCACCAACATACATAAATAAAAGTTTTGTACTATACATATTAATATTTATTTAAACAAATGGGGTGGACATAAAAAGATATTTACAATGTTTACATTTTTATCATTGTTACCTTTAACACGACTTCAAGAAACATTTAAATTCAAAAGTCTTAACAAAGTTTGAGACCGTGTCAAACTTTTTGTAGTAGAAAAAACGTCACTATCACTTACACTCAAACACCAATATGCTCCTATTATTTTTTTCAGGTCCGTGACTCACTTGCTCAATTAAATTTTTGGAACACCAGCGACAGGTCCTTTGTCTATATAAACATTCTATATCTATGGATTCAAATACTCCGTGAACTTTGAACATTATTTGGGTGTGATAAAATAAGTAAGACATGATTAATTTAACGACTTACGTAACACTACCGGTTATTACAAGGATTGTGAATAGATCAATTAAAACTAACGTTTTATGGCATTTGAGTGACATGAATAAAACACAGCGTAACTAGTATAAGCTAATTCGTTGTTTATTAATAAGGGTGTAAAATTTTGAAAATAATCACTGATCACTAGACTGTATAAACTTAGTACATTGGGTTTTCCTTAGTAAACAATTATATTAAAATAACAATCTGCCACTGTCATACGTTTGACTTTGACATGTGTTCTATGATTTCGACAGATTTTGAAGGTAGGGACACGATATCGAATAGAAAGTATCGATACTGTACTCATGAGTAGTATCGGTAAAAAAGTATCGTACTCGTAAAAGTATCGAAACAAAAGTATCGATACTTCAAAGTATCGAGTACATTTCATAGGGCCTTATCGGAGCCTCTGTGGCCTGATGAGCAAACCCGCCCCCCCCCCCCCCCCCCCGATTGTTAAAATTGAAAAAAAAAACAATCGAATTATATTATAGTACGTATAATCAAAAACAAAAAAAGGACATGTTAATTCACATATTGCTATATTATATAATGAAAATAAAATAGCTGTGATTTCTGACACTAAAAAAGTGTTCATTAATATTACATTCATAATTAAAATGTTAATTAAAAAGATCGAAATCTCAAACAATTTAAAAGTATCAAACTTTTCAGATTTGTTTCAAATTAAACATACTTTTCTTGAATTTTAATCATTAAAAAACATTATACCCACTAAACCCGTCGTCGTTAACTGTGTGTCAGATTCAAGTTAACATAAGTTATGTTATGTTAGTAATAATAATAAGTATTTTACGTTGAAATGTTGTATTTTATAATCGGTTGGTTTTTTACGTCAGCCATATATAATCTCTCGATCAACCTGTTGACTCAGCGTGCAAAGTCTATCATAATTGTTAAAATCTTGTTATTTACTTGTTTTATTTTTGTTATTTTTTTACTGTTAAGTTTAAAGTGGTCTGTCATTGTTTTCTTGTTGAATTGACGTTTTCGTGGTTATATTAATGAGTGGTGAAGCTGGACCTGATCATTGACTAGTAGGTTACTTTCTGACATTAAAAAAGTTTTAGACCCTCAGATTCTTTGTTTACATTTTGTCTTGGGCCAAAGTGAATAGACTATAGGAGGTAAACATATCAAAAGTCCCCGCTCGTAGCCCTTAAGCCGGGGAGAAGGGGGGGGGCGGGATTGAAAGTCCCATTTTTAGGTTTTTCGCATATATGTCGGAAACTATGCATCCTAGCGACATGAAACTTTGACAAAAGTGAAAGCTGATTAAATTTGCTACAAGTCTTATTCAGTCAAGTTTTTTGATATCTTGTATAGTTTTCGAGAAAGTCTGTAATTATGGAAAAAAAATGCCACCACTTCTTGGGAAAACTGTTTTACTGTGATGGTGGCCACTGATTTCAAGAATGACTTGTACCTGTAGGCATTGAGAGAAATCTCTTTCGCTGGAGCTCCATACCACCTTAAGATGAAGTATTCACCTGCCTTTTGTACTTGAGCGGTGGTGTGAAAAGACCGCAGCTGCTTTCTGGATTTCTGGTGACTTGATAATGTCTCTGGTCTCTGGGAAGGGAGGAAATTTCTCAAACCAATCGGTGAGCATGGCAATGTCAGTTCCATCCTTGTTTTGGCGGGCTTGTCCGAAATCTGCATGCTGCTCACTGGTGGAACCAACAACCTTACGGCCGGCATTGTTGAAGAGTTATCCGGTCAAATTGAGCAAAAATATGAAGCAAATTTTTTTTCCCATAATTACAGACTTAAGAGCGGATATCTCGAAAACTATACAAGATATCAAAAAACTTGACTGAATAGTACTTGTAGCAAATTTAATCAGCTTTCACTTTTGTCAAAGTCTCATGTCGCTAGGATGCATAGTTTCCGAGATATATGCGAAAACCCTAAAAATGGGACCTTCAGTCCCCCCCCCCCCCCTTCCCCCGGGCTTAAGGGCTACGGGCGGGGACTTTTGATATGTTTACCTTCTAACTAGTCCTAACAAAGTAACGAAGTCAAAAATTGTGTTCTAAGCATTTCCCTCTATACCTTTTCGTTGCCTGGACTAACAGACAGAATGATGAATATCCACTTTTAACGGACTCCATAAACATTAGTCAATAACGTGAGATCGTTGCCTAAAACTTGTCAAATACCCTATGGAACGTTTTAAAAGGTTTGCTATGATTTAACAAGATGGCGTTGCCATCAATATGAGGCGCTTATCCAAATTTTTAAAGGTATCGATACTTGCCAAAAAGTACTCATTTAGTAAAAGTATCGAATACAAAGTATCGAGTACAAAAGTATCGGTATCGAAAGGAAAAGTACTCGATACCACAAAGTATCGATACTTTTTTCGTGTCCCTATTTGAAGGTGTATTTGCAGTTGTGCATTGGCATCGTGTTTCATTTCAAAAATATTGTAAAAGAAAAGAATGCTTTAATAAGTAACTCAAACACAAAACAATCCCAATCACAAAGATGAGTTCGACACCTGATATCGTTGGTAACATAGCCCTCGAATTCTAGATCAAACAATTCACAAATGGTGAAATTGAGGTTAAAAGGTTTTGTAATTATTTTCAGGTTTAACCAACAAAAGTATTTTCTTGATCGAATTCAAAGAAACCTTTAGTGAAAGAGCTCTCAGAGACGAAACTACTACAAACATACGCAGCATTGTGTTTAGTCCCAAAGGCAATTATCTCGCATACAGAAACGATAAGAAGTGTGTATATTTTTGTTATATTTCAGTGCATACGTTATATTCATCAATGAAACTTAAGTAGTTGGCAATGCATTTTAGGTTTGGCAACAAAAGATAAATGTATTTTATCTATACTCGAACAGACAGATCATAACACCTCCACATTAAAAATTGGTCAGTCTAAACTAATTGTCAGAAAAAATTGCACCAGATACCTTCTTTAACCCAGATAACTTAACAGAATAATTATCATAATTCAAAAGCCAATAAGTATTGAAATCTCGTATAGCCTTGAAGATATGTCCATTCCTATAGTGTTACAAATTCTACTGTACTACATTGTTAAAGTGAATTTTACAGTGTGTCATTTTTGTTCACTAACAAATAATTTTAATATCAGTCATAAAATATGACCCCAGGGCCTCAAAAGTATGTACCTGCATTGATAGGAATTATTAAAAAAAAATGTGATCATAGCAGCTTCTTAGTGTTTCTTTAAATATTATATTTTGTAACTAACATTATGTGTGAGTTATTTAAATTTCTTTTTTAATTCTTCTGCTAGGGCTGAGATTATAAAATGTGGAGATTGGTCAGTTGCAGCTGTCATAGAGGGGAACATAAAAGATATGTTCTTTTCACCTCTCGACAACTACTTTATGGTTTGGGAAATGTTTATGATGACCAAGGAAAACCCACAGGTATGTTATTCTTGTATTATTGAATACAACTATTGGCACATAATTTATATTTTTTTAAATAAAACTACAGTCTGTGAGGCCTAAAGCGCTTATTACACCTGTTTAAATTCAGACGTTCTAAATCATTCAGCAACTAATTCAGTCAAGTGAAATAGCATTTAGGAAGTTAGGATCCTAATTAGCATCCTAAATCGGAAGAAGTGTGGCTTCTGACTGACTAAATCATTTAGTATCTATATCAGTACAATATATTTAGAATGCGATTTAGGAAGGTGGAATAGCGTTTAGATGCTTCAGTCACACCACGGTGTCACTGCGTGAGGACGTGTTGTGTCTACGATGTTGGCGGTAAAAGAAAAAGAAGTTATGAGTAACATAATTGAATTGTATAAACATATGCTGTATCTTTGGAACAAAAACAATAAAAATAACATTACTAATATTAATATTCTTTCACCCACATTGTTCGTTTTTTACTTTATTTTATTTTTATTGAGCCAACTGCCAGGCCTACTAGAATACAGATTTTTGTTGCTTGAGCAATTACGAAAATGTCTGACTGAATTCGCCACGTGCTTGTAACTGACTGATTCAGTAACTAAATTAGTCAAGTGTAATCAGAAGCTTCTAATTAGCCTTCTTTTTAGGATCCTAACTAGGTTGTCTGAATTTAGTCAGGTGGAATATGTGCTTAAGCTGAGTTTTGCATATATGTGATATTTGAGTGATCACCAAAAATAGAGTCAGACAAAAAACTTAGGGATTCTAGTTTTAAAACTAAAATAAGCAAGAACTGTTTTAGTAAAGGTGAGCTGTGATATGTATGACTGATGAGTATGTATAAGCCTGACTGAGAAGTCAGAGAACAATAAATAAAATTTAATTATGGAATTCGAGACCGTGACGCATTGGGCTGATGATCGAAGGGCTGATATGGTGACACTTGTCATGTCTTTATCTTCACATCTTTATCTTTCATGTCATTTAAATAACTTTAAATTAAACAACATTTATTGTACTTGACTATTTAAAGGTTTTTTATATCTTTGTGTTTATTTGTGTTGGCCAGCCATTTTACTAATAAATTGAAAACAAAAACAAAATATTAAGAATTAAACACCTCACACTGTGCTGTTACTAGTACATGCTCAGCTCAGCTTAGGCCTTGCAGGCTGTTGTTTTTTTCAAAATGTGGTTTTACATGCAGCTTTCTAACTCAAATGAATCTCCCAAACTGTTTTATACAAATTAAGATCCATCTGATCCTGAACTTTTGTTTTGTTACAGGGTAAACCAAACCTTCATGTGTACAAATCCGCCACAGGTGAATTAGTGGGTTCTTTCATTCAGAAAAACCAATCAGGATGGTATGAACATAAACTTAAAACTTGATATAAGTTAATTTAAAAACTTTATGGCTTTTCCCAATTCCTTTCATTTAATAGCTAGGAGATGTTATGTCACCTTGACCCTTTTTTTGGCTTAGAAGGGAAAAGCTGAAAGAGTCGACTATAGACAATTATCAATTACTTTCGAAGCTTATTCTCTTAAGATATCTTTGACATTAAAATGTCTATAATATTAAAAATTCTCACTTTAGGGAGCCACAATGGTCATCGGATGAGAAATTATTTTCTTTGCAAGTGAATAATAGAGTGTTGATTTATGAGAATGCTAAGCTAGACCGATACACTCATCAGATAAATGCAGAAAAACTCCAATCATTTAGCATTTCACCGTGTGTTGCGCCTGCATATTACTTTTCTGTATTTACTTTAGGTAAGCATAAAATACCATTTATTTACTGTGTGCTATAAATATATCGCATCCTGGCAAAAAAGTGACAACACAAAAATACAACATTTATGAGGTTTTGTTAACTCAACGTTGGGGGTTGTGGGTAATTTAGAAACCGTAAGAGTGGATTTGTTGAAATTTGATTTACATATATTTATAATGTATTATAATGTTGATTTCATATGATTGAGTATTTTTAGAGAAATCATATATTTCTTAAAATAACTTAAAAAAATCTTTCTTGCAAAAACTGACTGGAGTTTAGAAAAAAGTGTACCTACATAGATGTTGCCCATTTTCTAGAGATAGGCCGACTATAGTATTTGCCGACTAATCGGTTTTGAAGTTGGCGATTAGTCGGCAATGCCAATCATTGTAATACTACCTTAGGAGCCGAGTAGTGTCCGAAATATTCGGAACACCTATATTTAATCACTACTAAGCTTGTCCTAAATCAAGCTCCTCCTGACTGATTCCTAAGTTCCTGTGGTGGACTGTATAAATGATACCTACTCTTCGACGTTTTCAATATTGTATATTCCTGTTTCTTGTTTCTTATTTTTCTTGGCTAGGTACATCCGTCAATGGTTGACTGACCCTGACCATCAAAAACTGACGAATTATATAGGTCATCCGAATATCGATTATCCAATTAAACCGCCTAATTTAATTGATTCTCCAATAAAACAATTTACATTTTTCTCCTGTGTTAATCATATGCATTTGGCTCATTTTTTCTTTCATGTTTATTGCGCTCAGGGCCTCAGGGGACTACTTACGACCTATATCTCGTTGTTTTGCCTGTTTCTCGGCCGGTTTTCGATGGTCAGTTTTACAATGATGTTCTTATTATAACTTATACCTAAATCTACAATATTTTACTAATAAATTATAATGCGATTCAACTAAGAATAGGACCGACTGGGCGCCATATTTTGACGTCATAGCTGTCAATTCAAACCAAATAGGTAGAGTGAGCAAAAAATGTTGCTATTTAATAAAACTTATTTACTAAGATTAAGTGAGACAAAACATCAGATTTTTTAATAAATATAATTTACTAAGGTTGAGTAACAACACAACCGATTTTTAATAGTATTTCTTTATTAAGACTGTGTGAAAAAAAATATAAATCACAATCTAGCTCTTCAATTTCGCTCATCTCTGCATTACTCCCGGAGAAGTTATAAATAATCATGCAGGTCACATATGAACATGCATCCTATATGTAAACGAAAGTTTTAAATCGAGTTTTTTGAACGCAACATAAAGTAACATTTGGTTGACGATTTAGGTTATCAACCATTCATAGCCAAAGCTCAATAATTGAAAAAAAAACAACTAATATTAATTATCAACATTATTTGTTTAAAAACGTTTGGTTTTTATTCTAGAATCAGCTGAGTGCTAAAAAAGGGTTCCGAGATTATTTTGCAAACCGTACTTTTCAAGCGACATTTGACAGATGGAGGTCATTGGCTTTCCTATTCTTATTTGATACGCATTATACAAATTATCCTATTTTTTAACTATGCGGCTTTCCTTACGGTATAGCCCGAGTATTCGCCGGTACTACCATAGAGTACATTATATACTAGTAATAGAGATATCAGTTAACCTGAGCAAACAGCGCCATCTAGCGAATCATGACATAATCACAAGTCATGTACTACTGAACCGGTACCGGCAGCTTTAGATGTGATTATTAATATGAAAAAGGGAAAAAACCATACTGTTTTAAAGCTACATTATTAGATAATTTATCTATTATTCGTTTATACAGATTTTTTTGATAATTGTCTAAAAATGTAGCTGTAACATAGTCAGTTAGACTAAATAAAAAAGTTTTAAAAATATTTTTCTTAATTTTTTTTTTAAATATTTGCATGCCATTCTTTTAATATCATCTTTAAAATTTGTACAAGTACGCACCTTAATGGGTGCCGTTTAATAATTTCTTTACCTCAAGACACCAATTATATATAAAAAAACCGGCCAAGTGCGAGTCGGACTCGCGCACCGAGGGTTCCGTACAAACCTGCAAGGTTTACAAAGTTCGTTCATTACGACAATCGAGTCATAACTATGGTATTTTTATTGCAAATTGAAATTCATAACATTACAATGGGGAAAGATGGAGGAGCATAAATTTAAGACAAAGATCTCTTTATCGTTTAAGTAATCCTTTATTTTATATTAACACATATCATTTATCTATAATATAACTGAAACACTTATACTAGCCTTGCAGCAGACTTGCGAAAGTTCTTTTATTAAAGTTATTTATTTACTAAGTTTTTTAGTCACTATTTAGAAATCTGGTTCAAAAATATTAATTAAGTATTAAATTTGAACCAGACCTGTAAATGGTGACTGAAAAAGTTATGAATAGTACCACATTGAACATTGAAGTTCGAAAAAACGTTATCAATAGTTGTACAACTTCGTGTAGTGCTACTGTTTATTAACGGAAACATGTTTATGGATGAAAAATATGTGGAAATTCCATTTTGGGGATTCATTCTAAAATCTATATTGAAGTCTCCCACAACAATCAGACGAGAAGATGAAGTGTACATATTGAGGTTGCTGCCGAATATTGTTGTATTTATACATTCTATTGCAACATTAATTTGACATTGTGGTGACTTATTAAAAAATATATATTTTGTAATGTAACTAAAAATTTAAGGTTTTCGGAATTTTTCCTTTATGTGTGCTATAAAACGTTGCTTCATGCCAAATTTCAAGATTCTAGGTCGACTGGAAGTACCCTTTAGGTTTTGATTCCCTTGCGAGTACTTGCGAGTTTCAAAATATGCAGCTTAAATTGCTGTTTCTTTTGATTGCGTTGACATAGAAGTTTGATTTTGTTACAGCTTAAAGGTATTATAGACCTGAGTATTTGGTATTAATTTCAATTTAATACCTCTACGCGTTTATGAGGAAATGGGTAGTAAGGTTAAAATTATTAAAAAAAAAATATTATGTGATGTAACTAAAAATTTATGGTTTTCGTAATTTTTCCTTTATCTATGCTATAAGACGTTGCTTGGTACCAAATTTCAAGATTCTGAGTTCACGGGAAGCACCCTGTAGGTTTTGATTCCCTTGCAAGTGTCGAAAATTTGCGGCATAAACGGCTGTATCTTTTGATTGCGTTGACTTAGAAGTTTGATTTTTTCACAGCTTCAAGGGACAGTAGACCTGAGTAATTGATATAAATTTCAGCTTCATACCTCCACGCGTTCCTGAGAAAAAGGGTCTTGACAGACGGACGGACGGACAGACGGACAACAAAGTGATCCTATAAGGGTTCCGTTTTTCCTTTTGAGGTACGGAACCCTAAAAATCTACAAGTCGGATCAATCATATAAGTTTCATTGCTTTCTTTAGCCGTGTTGTATATGAGATTCTTTTCAGGTAGCTTCTTCATCACTTTCTTTAAGTTAGTTGCACTTTGATACATGGCTGATGCTGAAAAAAAGCATTTCAATAAAATTAGTATCATTGTGAGGTGAAATGTCTTCAAGTTTTTTTTAACTAATTATTATTAGTATAAGAAAATTTAATTGGAAGATTCATTTCATTATGTAATGTCTACTTATTAACAAAAACATGACTAAAGCTAGAGGTAAGTTAAGAAAAAAAGCTTAAAGAATAAAGATGATTAGGATAAAAATAGAATTAGGGTACGAAATGTAAGTGTTAGCGTTAGAACAATAAGAAGAAGGCTTGTAGAACGTAATTTGACTGATTTCCGGCTGGCTCGAGTACCCACCCGCGTTGACCACAGAGCACCGGAGAGCTAGACTTCGATTTGCTCAACAATACCGAAATTGGACAATGGAGTAATGGAAGAACGTTCTGTTCTTTGATGAGTCGAGAGTAGCTTTAAGAGGTTCTGATGGACGCCAGCGAGTGTATCGACGGCCGGGTGAGCGGTTTGCACAGTATGCTGTTGTCGAAACAATGGGCTACCAAGGTGGCTCAGTAATGGTTTGGGGTGGAATTTCTGACAAGGCTCGTACAGGGTTGGTTTTGTTTTAAAGTGGCAGCGTAAACGATTAGAGGTATATGGAGGAGGTCTTACAACCTCATGGTATACCTTTTGCCCCATTTATTGGAGAAGATTTTCTTTTGATGCACGACAGCGCCCGTGCTCACTTCGCTAGAATGGCTACGGAGTACCTTGATGCTGTGGGTATATCACGGCTACCATGCCCAGCTCGAAGCCCGGTTCTAAACCCTATCGAACACGTTTGGGACAATCTCAAAAGGCGGGTACGAAGTCGGATTTCCGCTCCTACCGCCATTAATGAGTTGAAGATTGCCTTGATGGAGGAGTGGGAGAATATACCGCAGTCAGATATTCAAGACGTTATGGATGGTCTTCCAAATCGACTGGAAGAGGTCATAAGAGCCAGAGGAGGCAATATTCATTAATAAAAGTTAGGTTTTAATGTAAACGTAAAGTTTTAGCTTGTTCGTCATCTCCTTTAATTTGGTTTGTTAAACGGTAATTTCAAACTTTTTCATAATTTAAAGCAACAGCAACTGTTTTTTTTACACTTATTTTATTTTAAATTATCCACTTTATTAGATTGTTAAGAAAAAAAGTAATTCCAAAAAGATTTTTTGAAATTATACCGAAAAATGTAAGTGGGCGGTTAATTGTGCTTCTGAGTGTAGTTAAATCAAGAAAGGATTGGGCTAAACTGTACTTCCAGGGCCCAAGTGGTGATACTTCACACTAGGTTAGGTTAGTGTTGTGACCATAACGCGCGAGCCAAGCGAGCAAAGCTAGCGTGCCGCGACAGCGGCCGGCGAAGCGCCAGAAAAAGAAACTGTTAAAAAAGACCTTTTCTACAAAAAAAAAAAACATATATCACCTTTTGGGCCCTGGAAGTACAGTTTTAAAAAGGATTGTTTATAGAGGTTCAATTATAAATAGTTGTTTGGTAATACGTACGTGTTACGTTGCAATTAAGCACACAACATCTTTTCTGAGATGCCATTTTCGAAAACAACGAAATCCAAATAGTGAAGCCAATCAATAATCGATATAAAGAGCAGGGTTCAAAACGTAAAAGCAGGAGAATCGGAGTCCGGAAAAATAGCTGAAATCGTCGGAAAAACCACCAAAAATCACAAGAAAAAATTCGATTCACGAAGCATAAGCGGAAAAGTTTTTTTTGTTACAGTCACTAACAGGTTTAATTTTGTGTTGCTGTTTAAAAATATATGAAGTTGGAGGAATACCATACGTAAAAAAAGATCTGAATAACGCCATCTAGTGAAATATTACATATCTAAAATTCGTTCTATGATGTCCATACAAATAATTGTAGTTCGAAGTTGAAAGCCCCTGGGTACTACCGGCGGCCTTTTTACGGTATGGCCCGAGTATTCTCCGGTAGTATCTAACATTCTTATTTTGTGGGGAAAATAATGTTACCTTTTTCTCAATCATTTAATCAAATTAACTTATTTCTACTTATCTTTTAATATAATATTAATTCTTAGTCTAGGGGAAATAAATAGACTTTGTAACTATTTAACTATATAATTTCTTTAAATCTATATACATTCATAATCAAAACGCGCTGTCTTCAACAGTTCCTATTAACCGTTTTTTTAATAGTAACATTTCAGAAGTTTTGCTAATGATTAGACAGTCCTATAATCTCTGTAATCTGTGAAACAGTGTTAAGCGAAATTTAAAATATTTTTCTTGAAGATTTTAAATAAGAAAAGCTAAGACTAAACATTGACTGATAATGTAAAAGTGGTAATCAGATTTTAATACTGTGTTATTAACATTATTGAAGTAACCTTTTTGTTAGCAAAATCTACATTTTAGTTAGTTAGCAAATATACATTGTCATATATCTCATTCTATTTCATATTTTTGTTATTTTATATCCAAAAGACCGGTTCATTTAAAAACCTTTTTTATAAAAATGATCGTTTTTAATATGAATAAATGTAATAAATTTACCAAAGTCAGTGTAAAGTAAAAAATATGATTGGAAATAACTGGTTTGTGTGAGTAAAATAGAACATTTAGGTTTTTCTTTATCAGGACAACACCAATATACCTACTTATAAAAACAATGCAGAAAAGGTTCTTGTTAACAAATGAAAGCTAGTCGAATTAAAAATTTAATTATAATTCCTATAATGTTACTTTTTTTATATTTTAAGACTATAGCTTTAGATACTGTTTAGGAATTAAAAACAAGGTTAGATTATTAGTTTTATTTAATTTGTAACGTGCCGATTATAATCGGCAAATAATCTCTGTAGCATCACAAAAGTGACACTATTCACAAAGACGAAGTAAGCGAAGAATCCCATTGAGAAAGAGAACTTTTACAGCCGGGCAAATGAAATATTTTAGGATTGAACATGAGATTATTGATATAGGGGCACATAGTCACCAACTTTATGAACCATGTAAGTTAATAAACAGTATGATTTAAAAATAGTGCTATATCTATGAATTGTGTAGTCAATCCACTAAAGTTGAGGATTTTGACATCATTTGACTGTTGTTCATAAGTGATAGATTAATTAAGAACAAATAAGAATTAGATACTGCCGATGATACATTTAAGACTTATGTTGTTTTTGTTCAGGCAAGCAAGGACAACCATCGTTTTGGCGCGTGTTCAAATTCCCCTCCTTAGAGCTGCAGCAAGCAGTAGTGAGCAGATCTTCGTTTCAAGCAGACAAAGCCTCCTTCAATTGGAATAGACGCGGCACTAACGTCTTTGTTATGACTCAAACGGAAGTATGTATTTTCCAATTGCAATTTTTTAAGTTAGTGTTGCCATATTTTGTTAAATAGCTGAATGTAATGCCAATGAAAAATGAATTGCCATTTTTTGAAGTTTGATTTCAAAAATTTCGATATGTTCAGTGAAAAATAATAATTAGTTAATTCTTTAAGACTATGGAATGGCTAGAACTCTGTTTTATGTTAAATTACTAATTAATAATTTTTTTTATACAGGTCGATAAAACTGGTGGTTCTTATTATGGCAAGCAATCACTATCGTATGGTGACCTTAAAGGCAATTCTGGAAACATGGCATTCAGTAAGTCGTTAATCAGATAAACATAATCAGTGCACAAATTACTTGTGTCTTTTAGCGTTTAACGTATCATTGGCTAGGCAAGCAAGACGTGATACTCTAACGTTGGGCGAGGGTATGAATAAGGCAGAAACTAAAATTGTCGGTAACATCAAAACTACTAGGCCTCAACCTAGGCCTGCCAGATGGCCGGAAAATCCGGGATTGTCCCGGAATTTTGCGTCTTGTCCTGTGTTCAGTAATTAGCACTAATTGTCTCGGATTCCGAAAACGTACTAGTTTTGTAACAAAATAAACTAATAACGAATGACACTAAGTAACAGACTGCTTCGATAATAACGTCACAATAGAAGTAGGTATGACTAAATATCGCAATAACGCATCCAATATTGTCATATTATTATAACCCGCCTAATTCTAAGAATTTAACTTGATTTAAACAAAACTTGAGAAGCTTGATGGCGCAGCTGGTTAGCGCGTTCGGCTTCGATCGTTGAAGTTAAGCAACTTTCGCAGTGGTCGGTCATTGGATGGGTGACCAAAAATTTACTATCTCGAGCTTCTTCGTGCTTCGGAAGGCACGTTTAACCGTTGGTCTCGGTTGTATCTGCAGTCGTGGTGGGTCATGGCCCAATCTCCCTATTCCATCCATAGGGAAGGCCTGTGCCCCAGCAGTGGGGACATTAATATGCTGATGATGATGAAATAAAACTTTATCAAATTTATTTGCCCTATTGGGAAAGGCAAAGGCAAAACCATGCAGCCATCGTCTTATTTTTGTATTAATCTTCCTTCTTTTTTTACATTACAATGTGGGTCTGACGCATTCTAAGGCCGTATACAGAAAGAAAGCCGAAAGCCGATCAGCGCTTATCGGTGCTTATAGGCGCTGATCCTTTTTCTATTGACCAGCGATAAGCGCCGACAAATGCCGACACGCGCTGGTCATTATGATCTATGTTGTCCGAATAATAAATGACTTGTATTTCAATTATTATCCTTAGATTAAATCAATCTCAGTTATAATCTTTTTATAAATCCAATAACTTTTTCTTTTATTAACTAAGTTTCGTACTTACCGAATGGTGACAACAAGTCTTTCTTCTGGAAGGATTGGTTGTTTATGTCAATTACACCAATTTATCATCAAACTGTTTTTCACTAAATCAAAAATGTAATAAAATGTTTCTTGAGTCATTCTTGTATATGTATAAAATCTATGATCATCAATTTTTATTTTTTTTACAAATAAATGATGGTATTCTCCGTAACGTTTCCTTTCTCTATTTATAGGATGTATAGCTTTTTTCGCATTTTTAAATACACATTTTCTAACAAAACCAAATCATCGTCCGATGAGTCCGACATTTTTGCTTACTCTGCTTTAATCGGCTTCCTTTATGTAGTAAGAATCAGCGCCGATAAGCGCTGATCGGCTTTCAGCTTTCTTTCTGTATACGGCCTAATGTTTCTTGGAGTGTTTGCATGGAGCACCCCCACTAGAGTCCGCATCACACAAATTTTGTTTGGAATCAAAATCGCCAAAGTCGGTGGGGTGTAGGGAGGTCAGCCCCGCTGTGATTGGACGCATCAAGGTCAGATCATATACTCAGTGCAGCGAAGTGATGAGGGTAAGATCGATTTTAGAAAATATCGATATTTTCTATCGATAAACAATTTAGAATAGAGGCCTAGTACTTAGGTGCGCAAATGCGTAATCATACCCTCTCCACTTTCTTACAGCGTTCTAATTACATGACGCGACTAGTAACTACATATAATTTAATATGTAAGCAACACAAAAAAAACACGTCCAGGACAAGAAGTATTAATGCAACGATATTAACTACCCTAGATACAACAACACGAACAAAATCGTGGCTGAAACGTGTCCAAAAGGTACATTGGACGATCCACGGAGGTCCGTAAGATGATCGCATGGTCAAAAACAATATAATGCCTTATTTAAACATTGAAAGTCACCTTTAATGCATACGGCATAAGGTCTTAATTAAAATGCATGCGTCAAGTTCGTAAAATTTTACGATTTAGTGTTATATGTGAAAGAATATAGACCTTATCTTTTTTACTTTTCATGCGCAATTCTGAATGCGCTGTTAACAATATAGCAGGTACAGACCGCGAAGAAAAGAGATGGCTAAGGCCGACGTATAACCGACCATGCATTTGAATATCACAAATATTTTAAATTAAATCAGTTTATAGTAAGTATTACAACAATAAATTTTGCTTTAAAGGCGTTAATTAAAAAACATTAATTAGATACCCGTCGAAAAAACGACACTTTATGTACTATTAGTATTTTTCTGCATTTTTTCACGGAACTCTTTGGCATCTTGACTTTTCAACGGTCCGCGTGTGACTGTGTACTAAGTTGTGCTTGAGTGGAGTTCAAGCACTTCTTGATTGGGACCACAGACTATTTAGATATTGGGACACATTTTGAGCGGTCGTGGTGTATCTAGGGTATTTAATATCGTTAATTCTATGTCTTTATCTAGGTCATAAACTATGCGCACTTAATTTCATACAAATCCGTTTAACCGTTTTAGCGTGAAAGAGTAACAAATATGCATACAAATTTTCGCGTTTTTAAAATTTTATAGGATATGTTTGACTTCAATCAAATAAAAACTGTTGGTTGTATACTTATGACATCTATTATTGTATACGATGAAATAAATAGTTTTTATTGTTTCCATTTCCATAGCTGACAAACTTATCGACAAACTTACGCGTTGATACATGAGCTGCGTCTGAGTCACTAGCAATACACGTGCCGGTGTGAGAGCGAGATAGCATATATGATGTAGCCCATGCGAGAAAGGGATAGTGTAAAAAGACATCAACGCGTTCACCAAAAAATAAATACATTAACAGCAATTTAATATAACAGTATTTTTGTCTTTTTGTAATGCATTTAAACTAACCAGTGAAAAGTAATACCATTTTTTTGAAGACTGGAAGTTGTACTCGACTTTCCATACAATTTAATTGCACAGTACGGCATTTTTTACAGTTTTTTAACACGAAAACGAGAGAAGCAGTTCGACCAACGCTCGGTTACCGAATGAAACGATGTATCGCGACGTCTGTAGGCGTGCCTCACGCATAGGTAATATACTACTTAAGCTTGGCGTAAGCGCTTGCCCTTGTATGCGGACTCTAGTGGTGGTGCTCCGTGAGTGTTTGGCACGAAATATATCGAGTCAGCTTTCTCGACAAGCTTCTGTGAGATAGTTAACACTACAATAAAGTTCTCACATCCACTTGACCTATATAGCGAATATTTTAAAGATTCCGATAATCCTCCAGTTGCGCAGACGATTGTAACACAAAATCATACCAACATTTATTTCACAATATCTACTATGAACGAATTTAAAGAATAATTAAAATATGGCGCCAACCGCACTTGATGAAATCTCACCACACCAAAGAACTATTTTTTTTTCTAAACACAAGTTACATTTGTCTTTGTTTGCAGGCAAAGAAGGTCCGATACACTCTGTGTCATGGAACCCAGGCAACTCCAATGAATGGGTGGCTGTGTACGGTCACGCCCCCGCTAAGGCTACGCTTTTTAACGCCAAGTGTGAACCGCTCTTCGAGTTCGGTACCGGCGCTTGGAACGCCATATACTTTCCTCCAGAGGGGCACTATATCCTTTTCCATATGATATATATAGATATACTAGTAGTCCCAGCGAACTTCGTACCGCCATAAAAAATAGGGGTTGGTGATAGAAGGGTGAAAATTTAGGGTTATATGTATTTTTGTATGATGCATCATAAAAAAATAAAATCAAAAAATTTTGCCAAAAAAAAAATTACTGTTGGACCACCCTTAACATTTAGGGGGATGAAAAAATATGTTGTCCGATTCTGAGACCTACTGAATATGCATATAAAATTTCACGAAAATCCGTTGAGCCGTTTTGAAGACGTTCAATTACGCACACCGTGACACGAAAATTTTATACATTAGACTATATTTTTTTTTTCATGTGATAGGTTTTATTTTTACTGAGGGAACAGTTTTTTTTACACCTTTTCGGTTGTAATGGATGGGTGTTAAACGTGTTAACAGATAAATAAATATCAAATCATCATTATAATAACTGTCAAGGCCACGATTAGTAGGTTGCTGACACAGCCATTTTTGGAAGAACCATATCGTTGTTTTTTGATTTTAAAAAACAGACCACTACCGTAATGTCTGCATAGGCGACTACCTATACCTTACAAAGGCAGTAGTAGTGAAGTGAGTAAGTTACTATTATCCCACTCTTTATAATAACAAATTCTGGGGAACACACAACAATTAGGTACTTAGTCCCAAACTAAGCAGATGGAAATTTAAAGACATAGGTCCATGATTCAATAACAAATATTTGTGTTCTTTTGTCATCCGTCACACAATAAATGCTCCTAACGTGATTTGAACCCAAGTATTAAAATTCGTTCAAGTTCGTCCGTCAAAAATACACCTTTAGCGTAAAATAAAAAAAAAACAAAAGCCTTGAAATTTTAAGACTGAAGTATCCCTTGACTCCTTTGCACGTGTGTTACTAGGCGGTTTCGGTAACATAGCCTCCGGCAGTATAGAGGTGTGGGACATGCGTGGATACAAGAAGCTGGGTACATGTACAGCACCCGATACAACCTGGTTACAATGGGACCCGCGTGGAGAGACCTTCCTCACTGCTACAACATACCCGCGACTGACTGTTGGCAACGGGTGAGTGACGTTATATAGCCTCCCGTAGTTTGTAAGTATAATATAGGTGCAGGTCAAATGCGGTTACTCGACATCACCTGCTGGCAGTAGGACCCAAACTAGAAGACCTTCCTCACTTCTACAACATACCTGCGGCTTACTATTGGCAACGGGTAAGTGTCGTTATATAGCCTCCCGTACATAGGTAGCCTGATATCGCCTGCTCGCATAGGATTCGCGCTAGGAGACCTTCCTACTGCTACAACATACTCACGACTGACTGTTGGGAACAGGTGAGTGACGTTATATAGCCTTCCATAGTGTTTTATGTAGATGTAGGTCAAGCGCAGATACTAGAGCTCGATACGCACTGGGGTTCCTTCCTCACTGTTACAACATATCCGCTACTGACTGTTGGCAACGGGTGAGTGACGTTATATAGCCTCCCGTAGTTTGGTTATTGTTGGTTATTGTAATATGATCTGCGCAAGGACCCTTCTTCACTGCTGCAACAAACCCGTGCCTGACTGTTGGCAACGGGCGAGTATCCTTTTATAGCCTCCCGTAGATTGTTTATTGTAATAGGATCCGCTCAAGGATATCTTTCTCAATGCTACAACATATCCGTGACTAACTGTTGGCAACCGACGAGGGGCGTTATTTAGCTTCCCAGAGTAAGTATATTGTAAACGCGGGCACTAAAGACCGACACTGCACAGCCTGTTTGCAGCATGATCCTCATAGGAGATCTTCCCTTAGAAAAAAAATCAACACCGCTTGCCTTAATACTCATTAACATATAATCAACTGAAATATGTCTTGCAGATACAAGATTTGGCATTACACCGGCGCTCTTATGCACAAACGCATGTGTCAAGAGAAGGAAAATCTTCTAGCGATCTCTTGGCGGCCTGGCACTTATTCTAAGAGCGAGTTGTCCAAAACTGCACCCAAAGGCATAGAAGACGCGACTCCGAAACCGACTGCAGCTTACAGACCGCCCGGTGCTAGGAACAAACCGTCGAATTTCACTTTCCACGAGCATGAGAAGCCACACAAGCCTGGAGAAAGTTCTGGTAAATGTTTTAGTGTATAGCTAAACTCATGGTTAGATGTACAATCAGCCAATTGGATTCCTGAGCCACCATAAGCTTGTTTACTTACAATCATTGCAAAATAGTAAGGTAGAAATTCGCTTGAATGTATGTATCCCTGGTTAAAAGTTGTTATTTTCAGAACAATCATAATTGTAATGACAGATTTTGCCGCCTTCCTGTGACATAATGTTGAAGTTAGTTATTTGGAGTTTTGTCCATGGACTAAGGATTTCCTTGTTAGTTTACCAACGTTTTTTTACCAAACCACCAAGTGTTTTCGAAATTCAAACTACTATTACAATTTATCAATTACATGATCTACTACATTGAAAATAAAGGTTAAATTTCAAATATCTTTGTTCCATTTTAACACTACCCACACATAGTTTAATTACTAGAAGGTCCTACTAAGTGCAATTACGCATTATTGGTGATGTGAGTGTTGCAAATATTTATTTATTATATATCTTTCCTTTTTATTACTTAATTAGCGGCGCCTTCGAAACAAGCCATCAAACAGAAGGAGAAACGCGAAGCTCGCAAAGCACGCAAGGCAGAAGAAAAGGCTAAGGGAGACACCTCTCCCCCGCCCCCCACATCTTCCCGCGCCCCCTTCATCTCCACCGGCGACCCAGAGAAAGATAAAAAGATAAAAAGTCTTAACAAGGTATGTATGACAGAGACAGAGACAAAAGCCTCCTGCGCCTCTATCGTCTTCACCGGCAGCCCCGAAAAAGATAAGAAGATCAAAAATCTTAACAAGGTATGTGTGCGAGAAAGAGAGAGACAAAACTAACTACCGCGTCCCCTTCATCTCCACGGGCAACCCCGAGACTCATAAGAAAATAAAAAACTTAACAAGGTATGTATTAGAGAGAGAGACAAAACTAACTACCGCGTCCCGTCATATCCAACGGCAACACCGAGAAAGATAAGAAAACAAAAATCTTAACAAGATATGTATCAGAGAGAGTGAGAGAAAAAAAAATTAGGTCACACGCTCGGAACTGGCACAAGTTGAATATTTTCTTGTAAGAAAATTATTTCTAATGGCGCGTCACAATATCACCTTAGCACAATGATAGCGTGACACGCCCCCAAACCTTTTACGACAGTTTCATCTGGTATAGACCCCGGCAAACTTCTTGACTCTCTTGTGCCATGTGTGTGTCGGCCTAGAATAGCACCACCCCCTCTCGTCCCATGGGTGTCATAGAAGGCGACTATGGGAACACGGCCAGCAGAAGACGGGCAGCAGCGTCTTCTCCTTCAATGCTATGTCCATACTGCAGTCGCCAACCCGTCTGCCAAGGGTGGCGATTACGGCGAAACCCCCTAATAGTTCCCAGCAGCCCTGTATGTCCAAGCCACGGTAACAGCTTTAGTAACAACAGGGCTGGGGGTGCGAAGAATCCCCGGGTAAGATCCGGCTACCATCAGAGACGACTAGACCTGGCAATATACAACACGCGCACACTAAGGACTGACGCGAAGTTAACGGAGTAGGAAGAAGCTGTTAGTAAGTTACGCTGGAGTGTTGTCGGTCTATCTGAAGTCCGAAGAGAGGGAGAGGACTCAATAGTCCTCAATTCTAGTAACTTACTATATTACCGGGAGGGCGAAGGCTTTATCGTCCATAAGTCCATCGTCAAGAACGTGATAACCAACGGAAGTGTGTCGACCAGGGTAGCATACCTGATACTCAGAGTATCGAAAAGATATTCGTTAATTGTCATTCAGGTCTATGCTCCGACCTCTACACATCCAGATGACGAAGAGGAGGCTATGTATGAGGAGATCTCTAAAGCCATGCATAGCCACAAAACCCACTACACAGTTGTGATGAGTTGAGAGTGGGGCAATTTGGAGTTGGACAAAGGAACGCCAGAGGTCGGATGTTGGTTGACATCATGGAGAAGGAGAACTTCTTTATGATGAGCTCCGTCTTCAGGAAGCCCCAAAATCGGAAATGGACCTGGATGAGTCCTGACGGTAATGTTGAAAATGAGATTTCTTGAACAACGACCATAGACAAGGAAGCCTTCGCAGTAGCAATTTTACATACAGAAACGTCTACTTCGCAAGCCTATTTGTCTGTGGTTTTGCTTAAGAAGTTTGACGTTACCTATACTCATGAATTCTTGACTAATAAATGTAGCGAATAATGGCTTTGTACTAAAACGTTATTTTTATTCGGCGACCTCTATGGTACAGTGGATTTTACCAGTTTTTAAGGTGTCTCCTACTCCTACTCTAGTCCTAGGTTCGAATCCTGGTAGGGGCAATCTTTATATGACGAATACGATACGATGGGCCATTTGGACCTCCGTCATTGCTTTTTACGTATTTTTATTAGATATATACCTATCGATGTATTTTTATACAGGGTGTCCTAAAACTTTGCCACATAGAACTAAAGTAACTTAAACAATGTTGATAGAAAGATTTGCTGAAACAAGACTTCATTTTTATTTTGTATTGGGATATATCATATAACACAAACCATAGGAGTGCTTACTTTAAGACTAGGCTTATCGGTATAACTGTAAGAAGTATTTATTTAATATATATTGTTTTTCTCTTAATAGAAACTCAGCGATATAGACAAGTTGAAACAGCAAAAGGCGGCGGGCAAACAACTTGAACTAAACCAACTCGCCAAGATCGACAGCGAAGCTTCTCTACTACAGGAATTAGCGCAGCTCCGATTATGATCACCGACGGCTCGTAAATAAATGACTAGATCGCTTACTAATTACGTAGAAATTTAAGAGAGAACTAGCTGTCTCCTGCGTAAATCATTGGCCGCAATACAAATCTTTAGAACAATATTATCGTTTAGACTGTTGGTCTTGTTGGTAGGACATTTACGTCTTACTTAGTTGGTTGTCATAAAACTCTATAAGAAAGAAATCACTCGCAGCTATTGACATTTTATATTAAAGATTCGATCAAGCCATCAAGTGTTATTTTTGCAACAAAAAGTAAGTTATTATTCTCTGAGGTTTTTAATATCTCTATAATAATGATATTCATCAAAATCGGTTCAGCGTTTTTTGCCGTGAATTGGTGACAAACAAACACATTTACTTTCAAATTTATAATAATAAACAGGGTCGCGGCTAACGATTTACGTGTTGTTTACAGTTGCAAACTAGAAAATTGAGCTCTCCAGTTAAGTGTAGCAAAATATGACTAATAATATTTTGCCTTTGAGCGTGATTGAGGTATTAAGTACAAGTGTATGGGTAGTCGAATTTAATAATATATGGTTATTGATTATTACTTGTAAGTACACGGATTTCTATTTACCATATGTTTTTAATTCTATTAGAGATATCATTTGTGGGACGATTGTTAACTAGCTAGATTATGGTAACGAGTTTCCAAAGCACAATATTATATTCGTTTCAAAGATACGTTGATAAAATTTATTAATGGATACATTTTTTTTGTTTTGTGTTACTGTGATAAGCTCGCTCGTCTAGTTTAGTTATCTCGATGTGTTTAAACTACGAATTTAAACCTTATTGCTAATTAGTTAACGACGGTACTGGAATCAACCGACGAGGCCTTAGCTGTACTTAATTCCTCAATATTGAGGGAAACTTGCACCAATATTCTTCAATCAAATTAAGGCTTAATCCTGTTTGTCATATAATTTATTCTTTGGACAAGAAATTTGCAAAATTTTCCCACTAGGGGCGCTGTAATTGCTTGAGCCAAAACTTCTATCAAATACATACCTATTAGCTTATATTAATTTTAAAGCATTTTATTAAACAAATTACAAATGCCGCGTTGTGAAATTCCTGGTTGTTGTGAGAAAACTGCAGCATACTTCCCGACTAAAATATAAATTATAATATGTTGCTTTGAAAGGAGGGGGGGGGGGGGAGGGGGTAAAACTGACCTGCTGTTTACACCATGGTATGTATTTGGGACTGGTAATTGCATCTCGATGTCTTCATTTTTATCAGAAAAAATTGCACCTAAATTAAAATTGCGGTCATATATCTTAAGTCTGTAAAAAAACCCAATGTTATAATTCCCATTTTAGCCAGAGGTAACTCTATATGATGTCTGACTGATGCAAAAATAAGATAGATTTGACTAATGAGCCCGTTAAAAGTTACTGCGATCCATGAACTATTAAAATAATCACGAAAAATGCATCTATGTACCGAGAATGAGTATTCTAGCATAATAATAGAAGGAGTGCCTTTCTACTAGATCAGCTTTTCTGCCTTGCACAGATGCTCCTCTCCTTTTCAACTCCGTTTTCAGCTGTATTACAGACCATGTTGAACACACTTTTACCACTTAATTATTATATTTAACAACAAAAAAACACGTTTAAAATTTGACAGCTGCAATATTCGGCTGTGGTTTGGGTCAAGCGTTTGCAGCGCCACCTATGTCGAGCTTTGCGTATATTTCTCCATTGTTTCAAGTCAAATAGAGATAGCATAAGGCCTATAAGTGATTAGCATATTGATTTGATTTTTTAATTTTGGTGCAAGTGTGTTGTGAGTGCATAAATACAACTTTGGCAAATCCCTTAGCGATTCTGTGAATTTGAAAATTCTAGATTTTCTTATAAATGTCAAATTTAGAACTAAGTAACGCCAACGATCAATATTTTGCTACGAAACTATTTAAATATGTATACTCTATTTCGTAAATAATATCTTATCGTAAAGATCACCTCCGAAGTGTGTTTTCAGTTTTTTGTGTCGGTTTTTCACGGTTTTTTTTTCGATGCGAAATAAGTAAATCATTATTTATAATCAAGCAATAGAGTTTAGCAAAATCTGTTGACTATTTTAAATGAAATATTAATACTAAGGATAAATAAATTAATGTTTATAAAAATCGCACGTCAGTCTATTATATTATATACTATAGTCTGTCTACATGAACAAGCAACACTAACAAAATATTGGTGTCTGTCACACTGGAAACTGATTGTGGATTAATTTGATGAATAGTTTGACCATCAGACATATTTATTTGTGTAGGTTTAAAGTAAAATCACCAAGAAGATTTGTAAAAGGACTTTTAATTCTATTGAAAGACAAAAATCAGAACGGCTCACTAAGAAACTATACACATTTCTTTAATTAATTTTTGTTTTTTATTAATTTCTTTGTTCTTTAAAATCGGTGTTCACTTCTGTAAAGTGAATGAGAAAAGTGTTTCATTTATCATAAATTTTTAGTATTATGCTATTAAATGAGGTCACTAACTATTTAAAATAAAAAAAATGACATCATGCTAGGTATCTGATATCGAACAGTTCCCATTACACATTTTCTATAAATTAGTCACTTATCGCTATTTTTTAATATTCATTAGCGATGTATTGCTTTTTCCGCCCTCGCCGTAAAAATTTACGACTATATAGTAATGAGTTTTACACATTTTAATATCGTAAACATTAATGCATGTGTGAAAATAAAAAAAATATATTAGCATAAATATTTGAAATATCCCCGAGTTGGCTTACTTTTAATAAAATATGGGAATACCTATTTACCAGGTTTTCTCTATTATTTTCTAAAAGCATTATTTTTACTTTTAAAATAAACTTTAATTAGTTTGAAAAGAATACAAACCTACCTAAAAAAACTAACCACGATTTTTTTTTAAACTACCTGATTTAAAATCCTTAATATATTAGTAAGTTTATTATGTATTTGATATCTCAGTTCTGAGGGGCCAATGAAATAAAAGATATAAACGAAAATCATCCAATTTGCCATATTATGATCATAAAATTTTCATCATAATATGGCAAATTGGATTTAAAAACATGGTATTTTTAAATGAGTCAAGGTCTACAAAAATAACAAGATTCATTCCGAATGCTTTTATTTTTGTAGTAGGCCCTCTGAAAAATCATTTGTTTCAATCAAATCATTAACAGATTTTGATCAACTTACCCAGTGTGCCGAAGTCGGAACGAACGAAATGTAAAGCATAGTGTTATTCGCTCATATTCGCATTTATTTAGTAAGTTAAAGTGTATTTTTTATATATCAGTGTCGTGAGAATACATTTCTTTTTTTCTTTTATATTTTGTAAAATATGTCGACATTAGAGACTTCCTACTTATGACTTTTTTCATTGATTGTTGACTAAAGATTTAAATTATATATGCGTTAAATAAATGATTATAAAAATTTCCTTTTTTTATTTATTACTAGGAGCATAAGGTTGTGCTCATCCGTTGGAATATCACAATTAGCTGTAATAGCTACCTATGAATGGATAGTGAAAATTCTTTCGCTTGTAGGTGATGGGCTAAGAGCCCAACACTAAAGCTAACCTAATACCAAGGGCGGATCCAGCTTTGGCGCCAGGGGGGGGGGTCATATAGTCGTGGTATATTAAATATTGAAAGTACTTAAATAAAATCATGGGGGGTCATGACCCCCATGACCCCTCCCCCCCCCCCCTGGATCCGCCCTTGCCTAACACAGTCTGAATCTGAATCCAATATGAATTCATGATCTGATTTCCGATGTTTTGACTCACACAAGTCTTATAATTTCCGTTAGATCTGTAGGTACCCCAAGCACGAACATCTGGCGAGAAAGTATTCATATCGCCGGCCTATGTGTGTAGCCCTAAAATCTTTCTTATTTTACAACTCCTATTTTTGTGGCGGTAAGACGTGCGCTGGGTTTGTTTAAAAAAAATGTCAAGCCAGTCGCAATATTGCCGATACCACCTCATTGTCACGTCCATCATGCTTGCCTGTCCGGAAGACTAACACGCTCGCAAGCGAGTAAATGCACCCAAGCGTTTGTGAAGGTTAGCACTTGTAGACGTTTGCCAATTCTCGGCAAGCGTGTAAACGTACCATTACATTGTATGTAAGCGAATTGAACTGAGCGGCTGCCACCGCAGGCCACGTCTGTCTGCGTGACATTATGGGCCATGTTCCACCGCGCGGGGGCCCTCGGCGATTTGGTGGGTGGGTACTAACGACTGTAAAAGTAGCCCGGTTAACTTGGCTTCCATAACAGGGAGGAGCTCGATATAACAAAGTTATATGAGATAAATTGGTCATCTATTATATGAACCACTGCAGAAGCTGCTTAACTTCCACGATGGCACATCGAACGCGCCAGCCTAATGAGATTATTATTGAATTAATTGATAACTTTTTTAATAGTAAGTATTAACTTCTTGTGTTTGTTATCAGTAAGAGTAATGATGTTATTAGTTATGAATAACACTTAAGCAAGAAACAATAACTGTCCACCTACCTACCTACCTAACATACATAAATTATTAATCTGAGTACTTAGGTACCTAAGTACCAAGTAGGTACTTAACTTCACACGGTCACTATCCTTTGCGGGGTCGCGGAGTTATAAATAATGTCAGCTAATGATAATTATTATTATGTACAAAATAACTGCGTAGCATAAATAAATAACAGTCTCTCCCAATTATGCAGTTACTAAAATGTTTAATAAGATCCCCAAAACCAAAGGACCATGACAAAACCTTTCCTTCCAGTTAAGGATCCGTCTATCTTCACAGCAAAATTCATCAAATTCGGATCAGCAATTTAGAGGAAAAAAATTAACTAACCAGTGGATAGTATTAATAGAGAATCAAGGTGGAATAACACACAAGAAATACACACATCAAAGCAACACGCAACATTTACATCAACTGTATGTTTAATTAATTAATGTTAATTTTTTCTTAGCAAAGTAGATAAGATAGGTGTTAATTTCTTTTTCTCAAAAATATAATTGACTGATTTTAAAATTAGGAACTTAACAATTGTGTTTATAATAACAAAAAAATACAATAGTTAAAAATCCTTCAATAGTTCTGTACGGGACGCGCCGGGCTGTCGCAGTAGCGGACAGTTACCGACTCGTATTGCGGGGTGGAGGAAGTTACACACAGGAGTCTTGACTGTAGTGGACTGTAGTTTCGGTGAATAAAACCCCTGGTGTTCGGTATTGAAGAAATCGTTGGGCGCTGATAATGGACGGCCGGTGAGAGGAGGCTGATGGTCCAGAGTGAACCGCTTGGTGTTTCTTCCTGTTCCTTAGGGTAGGAGCGCCTGTCGCTGAATGCATGTCGGAGCCTGTTCCGACTCGAATTTTATATGCTAGGACTGAGCTGGCCAGCGATCCATTACCTCACCCCCGCTATACTTTATTTTTCATTTTCTCAAAAATTACATAAGTGCGAGCTTAAAACTATATGTACATACATTGGGCATACAAATAGGCATATTTTTAACACAGTTATGTGTCCGTAAGTATGATATTTTAGGTGTGGCGCGCAAAAAATAGGTCTCCGCAATATTTATACTTTCCCCCTCCATAGGACTTCGCCCTGCCACAGGGCTCCGCTGCCCCACCCACGCGCTCCGAGCGCGCCGGGTGGGGAGCGCAACATGTCTTAGGAAACCGTTCTATACAAACAGATTTTGTCTCCTACACGGTACATTTCTACATTTATTGATGTGATGCCTATTTATTTATGTAGTCCTATGCGTTATCTACCTAATACAATAAGTTTCTAATAAGAATAATAACAAATAACAGCTCTACGGCCCTATAAAGATTACAAATTAAAAAGTCTTAAAAACCTACTTACATTCACTTAATGCCTAATTATCATATATCATTTTATAGAGGAAGTAAAAACACACAAAATAACATCATTATCATAACAATTATACCTATATCCTATCAACTATTCGTAAAAAACTATATCCAACATTTTCCTCAATTATGCCTAAACTATCAATACGATTTACACAAAACTTTGATATATTACTCTTATAAATACCTATTTCCTAATAAGATATAAAACAAATAAATCGAAACATAAAAACATACTATTTACGAATGCTTACAATTCAGGTAAAATCTTATAAGATGTTAGAAAAGGACAGCCTATCGTCTCTGTCCCTCCTATAGATCGGAACTATCAATATTCTAGCTAGTTTCCCCGCACCACCGCTTGGCGTCGTGGCGATCGTTTAGACAAATTCTTATAAGATTTTTGGAGAGAAAGAGACGGAATATCGCTCTGAACTATCAATTTTACAATCGTTTACTATGGGCAAAGCTATCTATTATTGCGATATCCGTCTCATTCTAATAAGACAACAAGGGAATAATCATTTTTAATGTGTATACAACCAATACATGTGAAATTATAGATACATTTTATAAATCAATCTCATATTGACGTAAGTTTATTTCTTCTCGCTTCGGTCGTCGCGTACAGTTCAAAACCTTAGAACATGTTGCTTAGACTAATTTGATTAGTATAGTTTTGAAGTGATCACAGCACTCATGATCTCATACAAACTGTAGTGACAGTAAAATTTTGTTTAATTGAGATGAATATTCAAGGTAGGGCATTATTGATTTATTTTAAATAGGGGTGATGACGGGGTACAGTAAACGAAATTCTATTTAGTCCGTTAGTTACATAATCAAAAAATAATGAACACGATTTTTTTACTTTGGGTAATCAACCAAAAAATTACAAAGTTATAGCGCGTCAAAGTTTGGGAGTAGGGACTCGTGACTCTGCAATGTTTATATTATGTGAAAAAATAAAAAATGTGTCCTTTATAAACTTTTTGATAATCTACCTGATAAACGAAGAAAAAAAATTAGTCATCATCCCTATTATAGTAAAACAAAAGGTTCAAGGTTGATTATAAAAATTACAGTTAGTTGGATTGTTTTTTTTTCTATAATTCAAAAATAACACTTATGTTCTTTTGTTCATACTTCTTCTAACATCAAATTGTATGAACAAAAATATATATTTACAGTAAGTAGGTAGGTACTTAACGTATCTTTGATTATTTATTTAATCTACAGTGGGTGTTCGCAACTTAGTTTGCGTAAAAAGATTTTCCATAAAGACTCATCCCCAATTTCACTGCCTTCACTTTTTATTTTTGAATCTGAAAATGTAGACTAGGTATGGTCTTTTTTTAGGTCCTTTTTACGTCAGTACTAAAATTCATCATAATCGATTCAGCCGTTTGGATGGTGAAAGCGTATCATATAAATAGATGGACGGCCGAGATATTTCCCAAATAAATGAACAACCCTGCATGAAATAAAAGTGTGCGCATTATTTATGTTTTTCAAATGACACAGAATGTTTAAACAGTTTTATATTCATTATTTAAGTATTCAATCACATGACTTACATGAAAGTAAATTAATTTACGACTTGTTCTATGTCTCTAACACTGCTTTATGATTTAGTGTTTATTTAGTAATGTAGAATCAATCTCTGTCTCTCTCGGCGGAAAAGGCGCGCCACGATTTGTATTCCCGCATCATTACCTACCCGCGATAAAAATATTTAGCCGACTCGTGTTATCGCTGACAAACACAGGGTGTCAACTATAGGTATAGTACACCGTACCGCGTTCTCCCTGTGAAATAAGTGCCCTCTTTCCAACAGTACAATTTTATTTACGCCCGATAAGATATCGATTAATGTTTGATATGCGGACTAAGTTTCATGCATTCAATGATCTGGCACTTGCTGTGTTGACGCGTCGTTAACTGGTGTCCAGTATTCAGACATACTAGGTACACGCAGCGCGAGTTCAGTTTAGCCATGGACAACGAAGACTGTGATGAGAACACGAAACTGTTGAGGAATCGGACGAAACGTGACTCGATTGTGCGCTCGCGGTCGAACAGTGTGGAGATTCGGTCGTTCGAAACTGTGTTTGACAGTAGGATGGTGAAGTCTTCCACACAAATTGGGGAATTGGCAGCCACATGGGGAGGACGGGCGTCGCTGCCTGACTCGAGGCGGTTGCGCCGTGTGCACTCATGGTCTGGATTGCCACCCGATGACGCCAGCTCCGAAATCAGAATCCTTAGGGAACGGTAAGTTTTAACAAGTATTTACACAAGTTTCAACCGTAGTTATATTAGCAGACGCTGAAGTAGGTACGACTCGAATTTCACTCCAATAACACAATGAAAGACTCATTTGGTATTGGTTGATTAGGGCTTAAACGTAGCGAATGAAACGATAAGTCAAAGGTAGCCTATACCTATCATATAATATTTTCAAAACTGCCCTGTCTGACCGAGTACTTATATATCTACGCTTTTACTATCTGTGTGGAAAAGCAGCTGAAGAGTTCTAGTTTTCTTCCACTTCCAGTCAGAAATAATTATTCAGCAGTAAGTACTTAACGTTTCACAAATATACCCTGAACATCACCAACCCCGAAGTAAATACTTCGTTCTTCTGGTTGGTTTGAAATACATTTATACCAGACTATATTTGAATAGTCAAAATTAAAAGATACCATATTATAGTTACCTAGATGCTGAAGACAATTAGCCAATATCGCTGCAATTAGCACTCAACGAGCTACAAAGGTGATATAAAATTTCATCTCAATAAAACTTAGAAGAATTGACAAAATCCGGGTTCATTGCCACATAGAATACGTGGTGCACTTTCGCCTTCTTGATTCGCGTTCAGTTGTAATCTTATACTTGGTGTTATAATGATTGCCTCATAAAGATTTTTAAATTCGGAAAATGACTTGCTTTTAGATGAATTTGCAATGTCGCCTTGTTTGACCGTAGCAGACCGGTAAATTAACATGAGCCTGCGCAATCAATTTATTTGCAAATGTACACCTAAAATATGCTGTTGCAAAACTAACAACAAGAAGCAAACCCAAGTAACTTTTATGTAGTGGAGGAAGGGATAGCAAGACGGCACATTTCACACTTTTAGCTCCCGGGCCCAAGAAGTACGTTTTACCCCGATTTATTAATGAACAAACATAATTATTATTAAACTTTGTCAAGCTTAGGTCCCGATTGTATCTGCAGTCTTTTCATCGACGCCCATCACTCCGCACATTTCTTTATGGATTAGGTTCATGGGAAGTCTTGTAGCTAAACAGTAGTTTTGACTATCATGTTATTATGTGATGTGAATAAATCGAAGTACGCCAAAGTGTGTAAATGTAATTTTAAGGTATCTACTGTAAAAAGGCTCTATTGCTGGGCCTGTCTTGAAGGAGCAGTCTTAATGATGACAAAACTACCAATGAAATTTCTGATGACGTTCTTCTCGTAATTTTATCAATGTAATGAGAAATATTCCATTATTTTTAACACAATTATTTTTATCGTTGCCATTCACACCACTCTATGAATGACTGTCCAAGACGAGACTAGAGTGTTCGAGTTCTAAGTATCGTTCCTAAATCTTTGTTCGAATATAATTTTAAATTTTCCTTAAATATCATCTGAAAATCAGAAATCTTATACGTTTATAAGTCGCAGTTATGAATATTTTGTAAAAGATTAAAGAGAGTGTTAAACAGTGATTGACTACAAGAAGTTATTATAATTAAAATAACATTGCATTAGCATCCAGGTGTTTTCTCCAGGATCAAGTTCTACTCTCTTTCGTTCTCTTCTTTTCAACCGTAAAATTACAATTCAAATTGCTTATTTCTGCGGTTATCTTAACAAAAAAATAAATGAACAGTTAAAGGGGGTTCAGAGTTCGATACAAGGAATGTGAGATTTCGGTGTTTCTTGGGCGACTTTTCTAATTTACGCTTTATTCCAAATGCGAAATCATGTACCGTACACTTCATGTGTAAGTCCGCCACCCACTTGACCGTTTTTTTTTCAAAACGGATATCGCTCTGGTTACGAAAATACGTAAGTATTTTAGTCTAACTGTAGGTGCTACCAATGTCAAAATCTAACTACCAGTGCTTAGAGTGCGACTGTACCATACGCATTACGCGTACTGGATATATGAAAGCATATAATATCCGGGTACCTATATTATTGATACTCGCTCATTAGAGCAATCCGGTGCCCGTTTCGTGTCTCGAGGTTTTAGTATCATAATATGAATGTTTATGTACTTACATATATGCTTCCACAAAATCAACTTTGGAAACCGCAACCTGATCACGCGTTGGGTAAGGAGGGATTGACTGGATAACAGCCACACAACCCGCTGACTCACACGTTAACCATGTGACGTCTATCTGTGGACAGGACCAGAGTTAAGGCAGGGCAGGCGGGGCTGTGGCTCAGGGGCCTCTACAAGAGAGAGCCCCCACAGCAGAGATAAAAATAACAAAATTTCGAAGGCTTCACACGTCAAAATCCGGCCCTACCTTTGGACCAACTGTCGACAGCCTCCTTCTTCAGTAGTAGCTCAATGCTGAGCGTCGTCATGTTCCCAACTTATTTATGCATTTCCATGACAGAGTAGCTTCCAGTGTTCCGTATCATTTGCGGGGTTAAGTGCGCGGTCGACAGCAAGTGGGTGCCGAAAGTAGAGGTAAAAAGCTCGGGTGCCGGTAGATCTAAATGAGATATGACCATAAATATTCTTATTCTGTGTACGTACTTTGGTTGTGGTAGGTAGGTTCCTACGTAAGTAAATCTATTATAGGTAGGATTTCCAGTTTTACGTCTAGTTATAGGTACTTATTGCCAATAGAATATAAATTGTATATTTATTACACGTGCTTGCAAACATTATAGTATCAAGCTGCTGTGATAATACTGGGTAATGACAATGAGTCACTGTGTTTCGTGTTTGAAGAGATACTTGCATCTACTAGTTTGCAAATAAGTGTCTATATTAGCTATAATTATATATGGTATAATATAATATCAAGAACAACGTTTTCTGTTCTGGTGCTTATCTAATCTAATCTTCTCTCCTAGATTTTCCGATGGTCTATGTCAATTTTGCTAAGAGACCTTATAAATCGTATCTCAATGGTGTTTCTTTATTACAAAATATGAACTTATTACCCGAGTCTATAGATACTATATATATATATATATATATATATATATATATATATATATATATATATATATATATCTACACAGTGTGATGTTTTGTGTTACAGAAACGAGCAGTTAGGGCCATAATATAAACTTACCTAAATCTAAATCCTTCTTTTCCAGTTTGGTAAGGACACAGACTCGTCCACGACCGGGCGCGCTCCGGCACCTGTCCCGCCGGCAGCGGCTGACGCTGGCGTCACTAGCTCTGGTCGACTTCATGAGCTTCTGCTCCATGAGCATCATGGCGCCGTTTTTTCCTAGAGAGGCTTCGCTGAAGGGCCTCTCGGACACCATGTGCGGAATAGTGTTCAGCTTCTATGCCGTCGTTATGTTCATAACTTCGCCATTTTTCGGGAAGTATGTGAGTAACATTATTTTTCTCTCTAGTTGAAGACTTTTTACTTTAATCGCAACTTTTAGAAGAAAATATTTTTTCAAAACGTTTGCTATTGAAATGCATTTACGGAGTTTGTATACATTGATCGAAAGTTCAAATTACGGGCCATACAACGGAGCGGGCGGTAAATCATTTTACCGCTCGCTCCCATACATGACACCGTGCGTATTTTATACAGTTTTTTTTTATTTCGGTCGAATCTCACTAATCTAATCTGCGCTGCGGGTTAGGGTGAGAAAGGAGGAATATCTACATCATAAAGTAAAGTTGTCAAACTAAATGAGCTCAGGCGATTGGTAGGTGAAAAGGGGATTGTAGGGTGAAATGGGATTCGAGGGAGATAAGAGGATCGGTGGGTGGTAACAAGGGGTTGGAGGGTGAAAGTGGAGATTGATGGGTGATAATAAGGTATTGGTGGGTGACAGTGGGAATTGATGGGTGAAAAGAGGATTGGAGGGTGTAAAGGCAGTGTGAAAAAGGGGATACGAGGGTGTAAAGTAACTAGAAGTTGAAATTGGGGATTTAAGGGTGAAGGGGATTCGAGGATGATAAGAGGATCGGTGGGTGATAATTAGGGATTGGAGGGTGAAAGTGAAGATTGATGGGTGTTAATAAGGGATTAGTGGGTGACAGCGGGGATTGATGGGTGACAGTGAGGATGGATGAGTAATGATAGGGGATAGGTAGGTGATAGTGGGGATTGGAATGTGAAAATTAATTGGAGGGTGTAAAGGGAGTGTGAAAAAATGGGATTCGAGGGTGTAAAGGAATTCGAGGTTGAAAAGGGGGATTGGAGGGTGAAAGGAATTCGAGGGTGCTAAGAGGATTGCTGGGTGAAAATAAGGAATTGGTGGGTGATAGTGGGGATTGTTGGGTGATAATAGGGGTTTGGTGGGTGATAGTGGGGATCGTCTCGAGCTTACATTCGTCTACTCGTTTGTAATAATAACCAACTTACACTCATATCATAAATAACTATTTCGTACCACTTGCTCAAAAAAGTGACATTCTATGCCACAAAAAGCGAACATAACAATAGTCATTTTTAATCTGTTAAAAACAGGGAAAAAAAATATACTGAATTTCATTCATCCTCTAGGGGGAGAATGTGATTTAAATTTGGAATACTTACCGAAATTTATACTGAACTACATCTGTGTTTACACCATTGAGTTTGTATATAAAGAATTATACATCTTTTTGAAAAAAGAATACGCATTGTGTAGTTATGATTATTAAATAAAATTACGAAAACCGACGAGGCCGTATTTAATTGGACCAGTGTTTCGAATGTTAACTTTTACTTTTAATTGTTATTATTTTTAATAAATCTCATATTATTATTGTGTTATTTTTTTCGCAAATGGTACAAAAAGTAGAGTATTTTCCTCGGTGATAAAGCTGTCTTAGTCTTGGGTGAACTAATCCCTTGCTACACTCAGGACTCGTCCTCCCTCCCTCGCTTCGCGACCCTCGCTTCGCTCGTGATTTAAGTTTTTAACACCCTCGCTACGCTCGGGAGTAAACCTCCAATCCTTCGTTACTCTCGCGATTTAAATCGTCACCCGCGACAGAAGACACTGCTTTGTCCCCTTGGTTAATAATCTACTATTCTACACCGCCTGCATCTGGAGCATGTAGTTTAAGTCAAGTATTCTCAATTTAACGTATGCTGTTAAATCTCAATGGAACCAAATTGTATGGAACTTCCTTAAAGAAGTATAAAAGAAAATTTGGCATAAACTTTCTACAAATAAAATATTATGTTACAAAAAAAACAAGGCCGCTTTTCAAGCTTTAATTTCCTTTTCCTACAGAATTAAATAGCATGATTATAATTGGGTAATGAACAAAAAAATTACAACCCCAACATATAATTCCATATATACGATTCGGCAAGACTCAGCAGGCTATTATAATTGAGAAAGTTAAGGTCTACGTTATGTTTTGGGAACATTGAATTCCCAATAGATTTGTACATGTGCCTATTAATCAGAACCGTCGGAACTATAACCCCGAACAATGGTAACCTAAAACAATATAAAGGAGATTGCTCAAATTGGCCCAAATGCACAAAAAATATTGACATATACGGTAATTCTTGGCATATTTTATACTTTATTTTACAGTCATTAGATTTTAACGGACACCTTTGAATAATATATTCATTCTAATTTCATTTTAAAAAGGACTTTTAATTTTACCGGTTTGGATAACATACGAACCCTTTTTAATGGCTATGGGTGTATTAACATTCAGCCAAAGACTGATCGAACTTGTTTATATAACATAAAATCGAATCTACTTTGTAAAAATCGATAAAATAAAACATTTTTTTTATTACACTGTGGTATTAATATCCACAACTATATTATCATTTTCACTACATGCAAATGTGCTAAGACAATTATTATAGATGGTAGGCGATATCAAAAAGTCTATTGCCGTACATTTTTCGGGAAACACTTCCATAAACACATTATAAGGTGTGATACACTAAAAATCAAAACTATGGTTATAATATAAACATAGCAAAAATAATGAAGTTACTGAAGATATGGCTGTATAACCTAAATCTCTTAGCTTTCTTTGGTTAACGAGAGTTTCAAAATTCTCTCTAATCTGTGGCTCATTCACAATCATCACACAGTTGCTGTCACAGAGTACCTTATTATAACCGGAAATGCATAGAAGATACCTGATTTTAAAAATTACTCATGTGCATTAACTTTAAAAACAGGCAACTATCTGTTAATCTACATGGTCTATATACCTGAATCTAATACATAATTTCGGTACTTGGCTTGATTTCCCTAGTTTACTTTATAACTTATTCGTTTAATAACCTATTTGCAAACATCACCTCAAAATCGTTCAGTGTATATGGTTTATAGAAGTTCTCAGGGGTGTCCGTCAATAATATTCGTTTCTACAGTAATTTATATATAAGTAATAGGGATGATGACTAATTTTTTTCTTCGTTTATCAGGTAGATTATCAAAAAGTATTGGACACATATTTTTTCTTTTATCGCATAATATAAACATTGCAGAGATATATTGATTTGAAAAGTCGCATGACGTCACTTTTATGCGAATATTCACTAAAAAGCGACGTCACGAGCCTCTACTCCCAAACTTTGACGCGCTTTAACTTTGTAATTTTTTGGTTGATTAGGTACCCAAAGAAAAAATACGTGTCCATTATTTTTTGATCATCTAACTGACGGATTAAATAGAATTTCGTTTACTGTACCCCGTCATCATTCCTATTTCGAATCTAGGAAACAATTTTTCATGAATATTGGTCTTTAGGCCAAACATGTATGGAAGCTGAGCAATCTCCTTTCTAGGTTAATCTAAATAAAATAATAATAGATCAGTGACTCTAGAGAGTTCTAGATTGAAAGGGTATTATCATTTGCGTTCTAGGGCCGGTATTAATAGATCACTCCCAACTCGGAAACGATCTTGAATACGATTTTGAGATGCTGTTTTGTATGAAAACCAGATACAAACAGTATCTTAAGACCGTACTCTCAGAGTTGAGAACGACCTATTCTAAGAGGTGAATCATTGCAGTACCTGTGTATTAAACTTATTTACTTTTACTTACTGGTACTATACAATACTGGTAAAATTTTTATCATAGCTGTGCTGGCGGCTGTGCCCAGTATCCACGATGCCACAATTTAGGTTTTTTTGGAAACATGAAAAAACTAATAAGAGAATAATAAGGGATAACATAATTATAGCTTTAGTCCATAGACTTAGATAATATTTTAAATTGCTGAAATATTGTGACAAAAAACTTATTTAAATTTGATTCGGAGCATACCTCTATAAAGATATCCAAATTCTATTTTTTTATTAGTACTCATATATTGCCGTAGATATAAGGACCTCTTCTAGTCTATCTCTCAAAGTTATCTTTTAAGTAAAAATATAAACATATTGACTGTAATAACACTTGGTAGGTTAATAATAAAAATGCAGCCACTTCGATGTACACGTTACAATTACAACTTATCATTATACAAATTATCTGTGTTATCATTAGCACGTAGGTATAATAGAAATAAAAGGTAGATATTCAAGTGCTTCTCTAATGATTTGTCCTAAGTAGGTAGGTAAATGTATTATTTATTATATAGTAAATGGTAGTGACATTTTACGCATACCTATTAAGTGATAGAGCATATAAAAGGGCAAACTTACAGTCTTTTTAGCCACCCATTCGATAAATTAGTATACGTGAGATTTGTTTAATATCCACAAATGCAAATTGAACAAAGTAAGGTTTAATAATAATAATTTTATTGTTTGCTTTGTTTTGAAAAACTAATGTGTTAAGGAGGTAGGACATTGCGGTTTTATTTTTTATTTTTAGAGCGCCCGTCTAGGGACTTCACCTCCACCTTACAGAAGATCACAGTAAAATAACAGTACCTTTTGGTGGTGTTGTGTTTCTGTCGGTTTCTGAGGTTCCAGGGCTCCACGGGTAAGGGATTGCGTCAAGGAAGGCAACGGTGCGAATGATATTTTTGGCAACGCGAACGTCTATAAGCCATGGTTGTTTTCCACTCTTTTAACATAACATATGAAATTACCAATAAAAATAAGGTCGTTCGAATGAATAAAGGATATTTTTTTCTTCTGGCGTCTATGTATCTGCCGCTACCCTTGTCCTCTTTCCTAATTTTTCAACACAATTCAACATCCAGCGTAACTTTATTTTATTTAACTCTATTAAGTTACTTCCATTGACTAGCAATGAAGTTCTTTGAAGATTTATTTTATTATATTAAGTTGGGGAAATAGTTTCTTTGTATTTTATATGAAAATTTAAGACATTTTTAATAAAGTTTATTTACATTTAACTAAAGTATGTAGGTGCCAATTTGTTCGATAACTTTTTGCGATCGTGTAGGTAGGGACGTGCTCCCATTGCTAATAGAAATTTTGGGGCTTCTGATCAAAAAACTTTGGTAGTCCCGTTGTGATGTTAACCTGCCACTACCTAAAGAATTCTGAAGAGACAGAAAGAGGTGGAAATCTGAAGCTGCAAGGACAGAACTATACGGTGGTGGCATTAACTTATTTTTGTTCATTAGGTTTCTTTCAGTGTGCCCGTGAGGCACCCAAACATCGAGCTTTTTTGTGTACCGAGTTTTTTTTGAAATGCGCCAAAACTGTTTTGTGATCAATTCCCAGCTCTTCAGCTAATGATATGCCGACCTTGCTACGCTTTTTCAAAAATGGCATCCATTTTATCCGTAACAGGGCGACCAGAGCAACGTGCATTTTTGACGTGTTTTTGACATCAAAATTTCCGGATTGAAAACGCTTAAACCAAATTTTTGCTACTCTCACATGCACTAAACTACCTCATCCATAAACATCTCGATTTTCTTTCGCGGCTTGCCTTACATTTATACCTTTTTTTGTAGTAAAATATTAAAATATATCAAATTATACATTAGATTCACTCTTCCTGACAGTAATAAAAACAAATAAAAATCTCACATTTTTCTAATTTGAATTTGGAATTATCTTCTTTAAAATTAAAACTATTTAATGATATCAAAACCAGCCAGATAGAAATGGCATAGCCAATGATTTTTTAATTACACGTTCAAAAATACTATAATGCGAATAGACTTTTTCGATAACCTATTATTTATTTTAAGGATTTAACTGCTCTAAAGAAAATCTTACTAGAAAATATTTCACGCGGTCCAGACAACTAGAAGAAATTCACACGGCTATTAAGGACGCGATACCTTAATTAGCTAGTTCATCCACCCGGATAGCGGAGGGTTCGAGTATATTTTTAGTAAAATTTTCTATGAAGATGTTTACAGGTATAATATTATCTAAGTAATGTTACTCAACCCTAAAATATTTTATTCCTAAAAGTAATTTTCTTTTTGTTACAGTTACCAACGGTAGGAGCTAAGTTCATGTTCATATCAGGAATGTTTGTAGCTGGTACGTGTAACGTTTTATTTGGGTGAGTTTAACAGTAGACTAATTCGGTTCAATATCAAAAAAAAATTTTGGTTCGATACATACTATACTCGTATGAATCGAACTAAAAATGATTTTTGATCTTAACTGATTTTTAAATGAGATTCCATTATATTTATTAAAGTTCCCTTCACCCATAAAACAAATAACATTATAAGTAATTTTACATCACAAAAACAACTTATGAACAATTTTGATTTATACTGTTATGAAAATAACGCTTTTGTCTAACTTAATTAATATACCAGTTTCAACTACACAACTAGTGTTGGCACAGGAATAAAGGTGCACCAATTTAAGGTAAATGAAATAACTTCAGTACCTTTAATGGTTATCCCTAAAAACAACATATTTGCTGTATTGAGGTAGTGGAACATAGTACCAGAAGTACCCAAGAATTATTTTCTTCAAAAAGTAACATATATCTTTTTCCAGGCTTCCCTTTATCAAATTTTTTTTTACACTATGTAGTTACTTACCTATATGCTGAGGTAACTAATAATACCTATATTTAAACTTAATGATCCTCAATTGTTCATAACTAAAGTTTGTATATAACTCCAAGTAGGCCCTGCCAGAATATCAGCACTGGTGCGACACAATGTCGTATCAGCTAATGCTGAGGCAGGGTCCTGGTTAACCCTTACCGTATAAGTTCCTTTTAACATGTTGTATTTTTTAAGGGTAAATAAAAATTATTTTCTTTCTGAATATACTGCTTATGTTTGTAAGAACACAGAACCTTCATGTCTATTAAACCTCTTTTCAGCACTCTCGCTTTAATACAGGACCCTGCCACATTTTTGTGGCTGTGTTTCGTGGTGCGAGGATTGGAGGCACTCGGTGCGAGTGCGTACTCCACTGCCAGCTACGTGTTCGTGGTGAACGCTTTCCCAGAGAGCATCGGCTCGGTTCTGGGCATACTGGAGACGTTTGTCGGACTGGGCATGTCTGTCGGACCGGCTATAGGCGGCCTGTTGTATACGGTATGTATCATTGATGATGATAATTTATGACGATGATTTATCAGATTTATTCGATTTAAATTTTCTAAACACGCAAGCAGTTTTTAAGGTACCATTAAGTTGAGAAAACACCTGGATTAAAGGGAGTGATAAATTCTCTAAACACATTATTTTCTTGCTCACTTATGCTTTAAGTGGCTGACTTCATTTAGACTGTACCTTCGGTGGAGTAGGAATTGGGTAGGGGAAATTTGCTGCAGCCCTCTGTAAAAATGTGTTTTCAACTATTCTTCTTTTATAAGGTCGCATTGTTTCATCGATAGCGAAACTTGACTAGTTAAATTACATATCAATTGTTAGAATAAAAAAAAGTGAGCCGTCACGGGACGCCTGGCAGATGTGAAACATCGATATTATTTTGTAAAAGTAATATGCAGAAAAGAACAGATTGCGATGGGAACTAAATATGGCATAATGATAAAATAAAATATTACGATATTTTCCAGAAAATGATGACTGTTTATTACTATTATTAAATACAAAAATCGAATTCGATTGTGTCTAAATAAATGTATTTTCTTTCTTTCTTTCATGGCGACGCGTCGCCACATCGTACACACGACTGCATATAAACTGTATATATATACCATCATATAGTGTGGCGGCGCGTTGTCACGGCATGAGTCGCTACACCAGAAATCGGTTTTACGTACGCCTATAGATGTTTCACATCAATAATAACAAACAGATTTCTTAAGATGTAAAAATAATATGTTTCAGGTAGATCGGGGGATTCGGCCTACCATTCTACAGTCTCGGCGTTGCAATGGTGCTGACAGTCCCAATCAACTATTTCCTACTGTCAGACTGTGAAGGTATCATGGTGTTTTATTTTTTTTAAATAACAGTTTTTAAAGAACTTCCATAAATCAATATGTGATTTTTAATTTAATTGTTTCACGGCAGTAATGATAGGATTATTATTTAATTTCATTAATACTACTTTGTTCTTCCGTTCTGAATGTTTTCGATTTTTTTAAGTTTTTTTATAAACATGTTAATATTTGAGAGTAACAAAGTTTTTTCCTTTAATGTCCGGACAAATCACAGGTACCTGTTTATGACGTTACCTGTGATTTTCCGATTTAATAAGATAAATAAAATCAACAAAATAAGCAGGCACATAAAACCAGCATAAAAAATGGAAGCACTAACTACAAGCATAAGCAGTCTAAAGGGCGTCACCCTTCTCAAGCAGTTTCATAAACTTAGAAAAGCTTTGAAAATATCTAGCTTCGAAAACATTTCAGCGATATCGTTGTACAGACGAGCCAAGCGGAATCAGTAAGTACCGAAGTAGGTACATACGAGTACTATTTAATATATCCTTCAAATTATCTTCTCACAGAATTTGCCGTCGGCTCCAAATCAGCTTCCATACTGCGCCTGTTCAAGATTCCTTCCATAATTATCACGGGGCTGGTTATAGTGATTGTGTCGAACACGTGGGCCTTCCTCGATCCCACTCTGGAGCCCCATCTGCGCCAGTTCAACCTCACCACAGAACAGATCGGATTGATATTTCTGCTGTTCTCTAGTCTGTACGGGATCTTCAGTCCGATATGGGGATGGGTCGCCGATAGGTAGGCCTAATTTCCTGCTAACATCAAAGAATACGGAAAGAATCATCTATCGATTCTGTCCGTATAGTTTCTACCGTTATATCTATTAGTATTACTAAACGGAAAAGTTAGTAAGTTAATGTAAGCAAAAGAAGTAATCAAATAATTACTTATATTAAGCGGCCTTCATCCGCGTAACTTGAAAATCCCACAGGAACATATAATTCTTCCGGGATAAAAAATATCCTATGCCCAACCTAGGTCATAAACTACATTGCGTACTAAATTTTATCCAAATCCTTTTAGTAGTTTTTGCGTGATTAAGTAACAAACATACAAACCTTCACATTTAAGAAGTAGGATTGAAAAAATAAGAAACTTAATAGAAAAAAAATATTTTCTAGTTTTGGTTCAAAAGAAATTAGTATTTATTCACAGATGTTCTTGTTAATCTTTCAGAGTACACAATCATTGGTGTATGATGGTATGGGGCTTATTCTTATCAACATTAGGGCTACTATTGTTAGGCCCTTGTCCCTTCATTCCCGGTCTTCCAAGGTATGTGGCATTGTGATGCCATTTTCATAAATATATTAAGTTTTTCCTTATTTAGCTTTTTAGTAAAAAAATACTGAAACACACGATGACTTTTTCCAGGGATTTATGGTTGGATCTCGTTGCGCTCTCGATATTGGGAATATCAGTGGCGTTAACATTATTGCCAACCTTTCAAGGCGTTCTAGCAAGTTCAATGTAAGTGTAGAATACAAAGCAATAAGTGTGAGGAATGAGAAGTATAAGGGAGGTTGCCCTGTACCTCTGCCTATGAACAGCGGAACAGCGAACGCGTGGTCTTGCTGCTACTCGCTGGGGCAGCACACTTAAATAAATAGATTGAAAAACGATTTGCGTTGTCCGGTGTAACAAATGAGATTGCCCGGGAACACTGGTTACTTACAACGCGGTGATCGTGTTACTACTCGCTAGGTCAGGGCACTGAAATAAGTAAATTAAAAGTCGATTAGTTTTTGTGTTGCCGGTAGTGACAACTTACTGTGGTGACGGTCGTGTGTTAGTGCAGCTATTTCTGAGAATTGTATTAATTATAATGTTCGTGTTTACTAAAAACACGAAAATTAAAAGATTATATAAGGATAATAAAAGGAGTTTGCCCGGAAGCATTGGCTACGCACAGCCAATGGCGGACGCGTAGTCGCGCTGCTACTCGTTAGGGCAGAGCACTAAAATAGGTAAATTAAAAGACTATTTGGTTTGCCCGTAGTTACAAGGGTGGTAGTCCGGCTTACTGTAGAGCAAGTAGGCCTTTTCGCTAACGGTTTTGATAGCTGCAAGTGTAGTCTTGTAGGTTCCTTTAAAGTATTTTTTTTCTGTCACTTTATTTTCTTTAATAGAATAACAGCAAATAAAAAAGTATTTGGGTTGCCCCAAAGCACTGGCTACGTACAGCGCTCTGGTGGGCGTATGGTATTGCTTGCTACTACTCGCTAAAGTAGAACACTCGGGCATACTCAGATACGTCACTTTCTTTACTAATAGCAAAAGTATAAAGCATCTATGACTTTAAATGACATTAAATTTAATTGACGACTCTAAGTATGGCCGTGAATTAAGACTATTTGTGGTGCCCGTAGTTACGAAGGAGGTTGCCCGGAAGCACTAGCTACGTACAGCGCGGTGGCCGGCGTGTGGTCTTGCTGCTACTCGCTGGGGGAGGTGCTCGGCCCGGCGTTGGGAGGAGCGCTGTCACAACGCTACGGATTTCCACTGTGCGCTACACTGTGTGCCGCAGCGTGTTTCACTATAGTTAGTATCCGAACTAGGCTACATACAGTGGTGGGACCGGCGCGTGTGGTCTTGCTGTTACTCGCTGGGGGAGGTGCTCGGCCCGGCGCTGGGAGGAGCGCTGCCACAACGCTACGGATTTCCACTGTGCGCTACACTGTGTGCCGCGGTGTGTTTCACTATAGCTAGTATCCGAACTAGGCTACATACAGCGCTGGGACCGGCGTGTGGTCTTGCTGTTACTCGCTGGGGGAGGTGCTCGGCCCGGCGCTGGGAGTAGCGCTGCCACAACGCTACGGATTTCCACTGTGCGCTACACTGTGTGCCGCGGTGTGTTTCACTATAGCTAGTATCCGAACTAGGCTACATACAGCGCTGGGACCGGCGTGTGGTCTTGCTGTTACTCGCTGGGGGAGGTGCTCGGCCCGGCGCTGGGAGTAGCGCTGCCACAACGCTACGGATTTCCACTGTGCGCTACACTGTGTGCCGCGGCGTGTTTCACCATAGTTATAATCCGAACTAGGCTACGCACAGCGCGGTGGCCGGCGTGAGATCTTGCTGCTACTCGCTGGGGGTGGTGCTCGGCCCAGCGCTAGGAGGAGCGCTATCACAAAGCTACGAATTTCCACCGTGCGCTACACTGTGTTCCGCGGTGTGTTTCACTACAATAAGTATCCTAACTAGGCTACGTACAGCGCGGTAGCCGGCGTGTGGTCTTGCTGTTACTCGCTGGGGGAGGTGCTCGGCCCGGCGCTGGGAGGAGCGCTGTCACAATGCTACGGATTCCCACTGTGCACCACGTCATGAATTATTATTATTTTTAAAGTTTTCCCATTTTCATAACCAAACAGCTTGCTTTAGAAGTATGAAGAGTGGTAAGGCATATTTTTTTTAGCGGATAATATTGGTATAATTATAATGTGAATTTTTAACGGACTGATAGATTTTATTTTTATTACGTAGTCTATGTGTTAATCCAGGGTGTCTAACTCCATACCAAATTTTATTAAAATCGCTCCAGCCGTTTAGAAGTGAATAAGTAACAAACATAAACACTCACAAACTTTCGCCTTTATAATATTAGTGTGATTTTATAGATGAATGTATTCATTCTTTTATGGTTATGATTGTGTTTAAAATGATATTAATATCAGCAATAAAACAAATTTTCGTATGCTTTTAAGCATGTCATGGAGGCACGTTTATATAAATTATAACAACTTATTGTTGCCGATGACAACGAATAAATGATTTAACATCTTATCGAAACTCTATTGTGACGTTAGTAAAATAACTGAGGCCTACTCTATTTCAACGAAAAACGAAATTTCGCACATTCCTTACTCTGTTTCTATTTCATTTCGAAAATTCGTTCGTCCGAAAATAATTTGACTTTTAAATTCTCTAAGCCTACTCTAATTCACAAAACTTTTGAACTAAAAGTTGAATTTGACAGATAATTGTTCGAAATTTTAACCTCAGTGCCTCAAATTGACGAAATGAAAAGTGTTCCCTTTTCATTTTCGTTTTGGGATTTTTGTTTAAATTAAACCTATAATTACTACTACAGTATTTTTAATTGAGGCTGCTTAGCGAGAGGAACATGTTTTAGTATGAAAAATTTACAAATAAATCAATTTTTTGTTTATTATTGTATTGCCAACACTTCAAAGTGTTACACGACAAATTTAGGTTGACATACATTCGATTGCATCAACTCTACAAATTAGTCAGCTAACACTGTCAAAAGAAGTTGTTTTAATGTAATCAAAAATGTTGTCATAAAGTAATATTGTTTTGAAGTAAAAAACGTTATCTAAAAAGTGTAGACAAAAAGAACTCACAAACATAACTCATTCCATTCGTTCACGATAATTGTCTGTGATTCCGAACTTTATGTGCGTGTTCGAAGATGAAATAGAGTAGAGTCACTGGCGAAATTTCGTTTAAAATTCGTTCGTTGCCGAAATAGCGTTTCGGAAAAAGAGAGTAGAGCTCCAGACTTGAGGCCCAGGGCTCCATGTAGTCAACACCGCAATAAAATTCTCAGTCACAATTTATCAAAATTGCTTTACTTATACTGTCATTGACTCCAGGCAAAAATTTAGCACTTGTCTATCTTCACAGGCTGTGGTGACGTTGACTTTCTTTTCGTTGCGGGAGTCCAAGAAATGGGAGAACTCATTGGAGTCCGGCTCCCACTCCATCCCTTACACGGACACCACTTGGAACAGCAACAACTTCTGCCGCACTCGAAGTGCGCCCGCCTCGAGAGCGGAATACTCACCGTTGCTCACTCCCTGCTCGTACCATAACAACAACGGAAATGGTAAGTTTTATGAAACCACGATGCGAGTGAAACTTTTGACCATTGTGATCATTAATAAAAATTGTGTGCACGGGCCACACATCTGAATTGAAACTTCTTTTCTTAAAAACCTAACATTAAGCGGTGCATAAGACATAAGGGAATGGAGCAGCGCACGCATCACTCATATATATATATAAATATTAGCGGCCGCCCGCGACTCCGTACGCGTGGAGTTAGTTAGAAATAAAGGTTCACTGCTCGTTCCCCGTAGGTGATAGCTTAATAATATGTAGAATATATGTTGACCCGACTTCTTAATAATACTCGTGCCAAATATGAAGTAAATCCATGCAGTACTTTTTGAGTTTATCCCGGACATACATACACACAAACAGACAAAAAAACTCAAAAACTATATTTTTGGCTTCGGTATCGATTGTAGAACACACCCCAAGTATTATTTCAAAAAAATATTCACTGTACAGTTTTGACTTTCCTACCATTTTATTATATTGTATAAATTGTCGTGTGTGACGCTCGTAGCGCTTCAGAGTTACCCTCCAATATTCATGGTCGTCGGGAAGAGCTACACATGCATCCCACACACACACACACACAATAGTCGTATGACGCTCGTGATGCATTTCCGTTTTATCTTTTCCATAGGATTTTTCCATTCACACCCCGTCCAAAAAGAATCTTCACTTCATATGGTAATTTATAGGTCATATTTGGTTGCCATTTTTTGGAAAAGATATTTTCCTAACTACGGTAGTGGCAGCGCAAAAATCCGCGGTGCTCTACTCTTTTAATTATTTTAAAAGTGATACATGTGAGCTAGATACTTATTTATTCATGATTTAAAAGTTTCACGTGCATCGTGGTTTCATAAAAACGCACCAATGTTATTTCATTATAGAAAACTCGTTTAATTTCATTAAACTCGCGTAGGTACTTAATTAGTACTATCATTCTCTTCGTAATTAATGCCTCTAAATTGAAATATTTTTTCCAGGTTATTCTTACGGGATGTCCCCAGTTAAACACTTCTGTTTCATACATAACAAGAGCAATAAAAGCGGCGCGGCCAGCATCGCCGACGGCGTAATATACTTCCTTAAATTCCAATTTTTAACCGACATTTACATAAAAATAAGGAAATCGCACAGAAAAAAGAGCCAATGCGTTACCAGTGTTCTTTACCAAAACTATTTGGAGGAAAGCGAAGTCAAGAAAGAAGATCCCAGCGACAGCAGAACTGCGAACAATAACGTCAACAAGTTCTGCAATTCTGAAAATAAATACTGCGCTTATCTGGAAAGTGCTATTTTCGGCAGCCACGATGTTGTTGAGAACTTACACACGGATCACTTGAAGGTGAAAAACTACCATCACGGGCTGGTCCCAGCACTGTTAGTGTGCGACGAGGAGAAGAAATCCTCTGGCGAGATCATAAGACACAACCTTGAAAAGGTGCAATTCTATGAACAGAACCAGAGCTGCAACTCTATCGAAAGTATTTTTGTAAGTACTTTTATTTTTAACTATGTATTATTATGATGATTAAGTCGCTGATTTTGCGTATGTTGCTCTGCTAAATTCTTTAAATCAGATTCCTTCACCATTTATACATATTAGTTTTTGAATTTATTGAACTATAAGCGCACGTAAACTATAGTCTACACCAACGCGTAGCAAGGGCAAGTCACTAAGGTACCTAAGTATTTTTTCAATGAAATTGTTCTAAGTGGATCTTGTCACAGAACTCGTGCAAAGTTCGCACGTAACACTGCAATATAGATAGATGAACGTACCGGTATTAATTAACATTAAACTGTTATTTATTGTTTAATATCTTTACTATTGTTACAGGATGGTTGTGAATGCAGAGATGGTGTAACGTTTGTGAGAGGCACAGTAACTGTTTCCTCAGCTGGTGCTTGTGAAGTATAAAATTTTGGTCCAAACTGTAGATAAATAAATATGCATTTTTAATTCTCAATTATGCTAAGTTAATTACTAAGTTATAATATAGTTTTCACTTCAATAATAAAACCAAAAGAATCTTTAAAATCTTCTCTTTATTATCATTGCTCGGTGCTCACAGTCACACTTGCCCCTGTCGTTTCAGAATAGCAAAAATATTTCTTAAACTGCGCACTTCACTAGGATATTATGATTGCGAGGAGATAAAATATGTGAAACGACATTCCACGCGCTAGAACATAACGCCACCTCCATAGCTACCCCTCAAAATAAACCCCACCCCACTGTATCAAACGTAGCAACGACGTAGTGACGAAAAGAAAAATTTTAACTCCACATGGTTTCTGCTGCCCTGCTCAAATCGACCTCTGCTGACGATTTTGCGACGTTGTCATGGAAATTTCTCGTGTTGCCTTGACCACTGTCCAGTCGAAGATCTCTTGAAATGTATTTTTTCTTTATTGCGCCTGGTCGCTAAGTCTGCTAGAAACAACATTTTCAGGTACAGTTCCCTACTACCAAATGGAAAATAAGTCGTTACCAGGGGAACATACACACTGAAGGACGTTTTTTATTTTTAGAGTTTTGTGTCCAAATGGTAAAAATGGAACCCTATTGCTGTCACTCTGTCGTATATTTGTCTGTCTGTCCGTATGACATGGGTATCTAGATCGTAAGCGGAATGATTTACAAATCTGAAATTTTGGTATATAAATACCACATAAAATACCAAATTTTGCGGCATATTTAGTTAAAAATCATTTTAATTATTGTGACACACCATTGTCTTAAGCTCGTCTAGTAGGATATAAATATTTTTTTTAGCTAGTTACGTCAAGCTCTTATAGGAAACATTAAATAATTTTATTATTTGAACTGGTGGGTATTATTTTAATTACTTCAGAAAATTTGATTTATACTATTCATTATATAAAAAAAACAACGGAAGACTTTTTTTTTCTTCTCTAACCGAAACCGCGAGCTAACGAGCTTAAACCGTGACGACTTCTGAATGGAAAAAGCACCGTTGTAACCAGAAACACATAACAAAGCAGGAGCTTTCATTAGAAGTAAGAACTATACCTAAATTAAACAAAAATAACAATATTCAAACGGTACTTTTCCTTGATTAACGACGAAGTTTAACCGGTTTATCAAAAGTTGAAAGATAGAAATCACTAAACAAAACTTATTTAAGAGTAAACTTTTTGAATTAAAGTAGATATTGATTTTCTTCGGCACTTATCAATGAATTGTATTATACTATAATGTGATTGGGCGATAAATTCAGAGGAATGGGTAACTTAGGGGAGGGTAAAAATGAACCCCTACACTGTGGAAAGCGAGATAGAAACATCTGCTTTGCTTTGTCTCCGATACACCCTCGCGACTATGCTGACCTGGTCCTAGTTGTTTTTGATTTGAGTAACAATATTCAAATATTGTTTGCTCAAATATTCGCTTCTGTGGAAATAGCTATTTATGCAAAGGTATTGGAAAGAAGTTCTTTTCTGGTCGGTAAGGACTTTGCAAATGGCGGATGGCGACTAGGCGAAAAGAAGTGTTAGATTTTTCCGTCACAATCGTCTGTAGTTCCTTAGCGTATTGTGTGTAGTTTTGTACTTATACGTATCTTTAGTTTTACCTTCGTTCCAAACGAGCGTTCCACGACACTTACGTTTGCGTTTTGTTTATATTAAACAAATTTTTAATGTTTTCTTGGCGTTATATTACAGATTTAAACGATCAAAATAAAATAATCTACTATTAACAAATAACTACGAAATTTAAACCGGCCATCTGGCGCACAATTTCATAATTTACAGCTTCAATTGTAAACTGACATGATAAAATTAGTAGACCGTTTGGAATCATTAAGGACGAACCATGAAGTATTTTATAATACTCTTTGTTTTAAACGTAGTTTTCGCCAAAAAAAAAGTGTTAAGGATTAGAGAAGTGAATGGAGTAAATTATACAGAAGTGGTTATAATAAACGGAATAGATCGTCCGTATCAGTTATCTTACCATTGGCGAAATAATGCTTCAGAGGTCCTATATTTCAGTTACAATTGTGGACATCAAAACGAAAGTACTTTCGCGGTTGGATTTGCAGAGAAGGGAACTCGTGTCCCTCAACCAATTAAGGGTGTGAAAAATGGCTTGGCTACGACGATAAACGTAAAAGAAAACCTTATTTATTATGGAGGCAGTGACGGTATATATGCACAAAATTTATCAAATCCAAATAGTGAAGTAAAGCATATAGAAAATCACGACATCTGGGACCTGTTCTACAAGGACCACTTGTACTTTATTAACTATCCCAAGCGTCGTCTCTATAAATACATATCCGTTAACACTTCGGAAATTCAGCGTCACATTAAGGAGAAGATATACCAATTCGCTATCGATGACGACGGTGACACTTTTATAACGAATAAGACGGGATTGTACATGATACCGAATGGAACCCATCATCGCATTCATATAAAAGGAGCTACAAAGTTTCGAGCTATTGCGGTGAATAAAAAAGGAGTAACGCATTTATGCGGGGGTAATGAAACCTATATTGTTGACAAAAAGAAACACGAGTTGAAAGAAATTGCTAAAATCGGGTATATCTTCGGCATAACCTTTGACTTCAAGGACAATATAATTTACTCGGATCCTCATCAGATTGTGAAACTAATGGCTATGGATGGCAAGAAGAAATCAACCGGTTAGTAAGACATTAGGGTGCGGCCAGAGTGCACTCAGATTCAGAGTCAGATTCAGATTCTGAAAACAAGCGCGAGAAATAAACAGTGTAGTCGAAGGGTACGGCCAGATTGCACTCCTGATTCAGATTCAGATTCAGACTCAGAAAACAAAGCGCGAGAAAAATCAAGCAACCTGCTCAGACTACACTGTTTATTTCTCGCGCTTGTTTTCGAAATCTGAATCTGAGTCTGAATCTGAGTGCACTCTGGCCGCACCCTTATCTCTGAGTCAACCATCATCAGAGCCATAGATGCTAAAGAGGATTTAATCGAATGTGTTTGGTTAGTTGAATCTAGGTTGACGAATCTAATCTTATGAAGTACTCATTTATCAAATAAGTTTCATTTATTTATTCGATTTTTTTAATGTGTTTAATTTCTGTATGAAAAATTTAAGCATTTGAAGAAATCCAAAGTATTTTTGATGGTTAACCATACTACAATAATGCTTCAAAATATTAATTATTTAGGCCTATTAAGCGCATACAAATATGTGTTATTTACAAAAATATTAAATAATAACCTATACCAAGAAGAAACATATTTATGAGTTTGATAATTTCTTTAAGGTTTATATTGTAATTGTATTGAATAAATAATATATTAAATTGTAACTTTTGCTTTGTAGTCTAAGGTATAAGAAAATGCTGCCATCAGATGGGTGCCCAAAAATGTATTAACTTGAATAGAATAGAATAGAATAGAATATAATTTTATTAACCCAGATATTACACATTACAGATACAAATAAAAAAATAAAAAAACCTAAGGGCTAACCAGGACCCTGCCTCAGCATTAGCTGATGCGACATTGTGTCGCACCAGCGCTGTTATTCTGGCAGGGCCTGTTTAGTGACACAAAAAAACACGACATGTAAAAAAATAAATTTTATTACTTGAAAGGATGTTTGGACTTATCATCCTTTGCTTTCAAGTAACAAAAATTAAAATAAAAAATCAATCAAAAACAACATTTTAGCAGCAAGCAAAGCAATGCAAAACAAAGCGAAGCAATTCATTTCAGCCTAAAAAATCATTTAAATTCAAAATATACATGATAGCATAAGCATATAGCAATAAGCATAAGTTATGTACTGTTATTCAGAAACAGGACATACTAGTGTCAAAAAGTATAAGGCCAAATCATGCTACGGACAATTTGCATCAATGCTGTGAAGCAGCTCCTCTCCGTCTTTATTCCGCAAAAGAAATCAAGGTACATATTACTTAGAAGTTACGCTATAATTGATTGTTCATTTAATAGATGCTTTTTAAGATGTTTTCTAAAAGTGTTAATATGTTTTAGATCGCGCACTGGAGGAAGGAGAACGTTCCAACACTGTGAAGCTGCAAACCTAAAGGATCCGCGGAATGCAGCAGTACGATGCTTTGGTGTCACGAAAACGTACGAGCATGATCTGTTGGGATACCTGTTAACATCTCTAGCCCAAATCAATTTCTCATATAGGTATTTAGGGCATTTGGTTTTGATAATTCCAAAGAGTAACACTGAAAGGTGAAGTTTCCTACGTGCTTCCATTTTAAGAATTTTAGAATTTATCAGGACAGGGGTCACATGTGAACGTGGAGGGACATGAAAACAAAATCGCGCACAAGCATTCTGCACCCGCTGTATAAGTTTTGAAGTCTTAGACATTAAACAGGGGCCATAAACAGTGTCACAATAATTGAGCCTAGACAAAACCAATGTGTCACATAATCTGACTCGCAACTTTTCACACAGGTAAGGCCTAATCTTATATATTAATTTGAGTCTATAAAAACAAGATCTAACACACTTCGCTATATGGCTCTCAAAATTCAGGTGGCAATCGAGAGTGAGTCCCAAACTCTTGGCTTCATGAATCTGTTGTATAGGTTCTCCATTTAGTGTGATATTTAACTGTATGTTATCAAGCTTCTTAATTTTATTTTTGGAACCTATCAACATGTACTTTGTCTTCTTTGGGTTAAGAACAAGACAGTTTAACCTACACCAAGTACTTATCTCTGCCAAGTCGTCATTTATTTTAGATACAGCACTAGCCCATTCATGATGTGGAAAAGACAGATATAGCTGTATATCATCAGCATAAAGATGGTATTTGCAGTGTTTGATATTTTTTACTATATCTGCACTATACAGTATGTAGAGAGTTGGACCAAGGATAGATCCCTGCGGAACTCCTCGCTGGACTGGGAGGAGAGCAGACCGTGTCCTTACTCCACTGGGGCTCAGAAGTTCCACGTACTGATGCCTGTCCGATAAATAACTGTTAAACCAGCGAACAGTGTTAGAATCAGCACCATAATAA